TCTTTACTGCCTGGGCCTCCTTTAGTTTCTCTTTGTTCAGAGTAAACTGAATGGGATTGGCTGCAGGCTTTGTACGCAGGTAGTACATGCCAGTTTTCAGGCCCTGCACAACACATTATTAAAATATACACCTAAAAATATTTTACATTTTCAAGTGTCCATGTTGCGATAACTTACCAACTTCCACCCATAGAAGTGCATGCTTGTGAGTTTGCCATAGTTTGGTTCAGCAATGTGAATGTTCAGAGATTGGCTCTGGTCAATGTAGGCACCACGGTCAGCCGCCATCTTGAGGACCATTTTCTGAGAGATTTCCCACACAGTTTTGTAAAGCTGCTTTAGATCATCTGGAATGCCCTCAATATCCTGTAATCAGGAAAATTTGCATTATATTGACACACTTCTCACCTTGATTATGTTCATATTCAACATTTATACATTTTAGGTAGTTACCCGAATAGATCCATTGTGAGCAATAAGTTGGTTTTTCATGTCCTCACTCCACAGCCCTCTCTCTGTGAGGTCTTTAAGCAGGTGAGGATTCACAATCTGAGGGGTGGAAGTGTAAACATGACTAAATATGTCTTTCGCCATAGAGTCAGTATGTTCAAATAGTGCTGACCTGAAACTCCCCTGAAAGCACCCTGCGAGTGTAAATGTTGCTGGTGTAAGGCTCAATGGATTCATTGTTGCCAAGGATCTGGGCAGTGGAGGCTGTGGGCATAGGGGCCAGGAGGAGGCTGTTCCTCACTCCATGCCTGTGAATAATCAGACAGAATATAGACAAATGACTACATTTACATGGGTAGCAAAAGAGAAATTTAATTAGTCAAATGGACAAACATTTGTCCAGTTGATATAATGAATTTCTCCTTTGCCATGGATTCTACCTGGATGATTGAGGGATTTCACACGCATGGTTACATGAGTATTTTTCTCCCTCTTTTGGGCACTCAAATCACTTTACAGAACCATCCACACAATCATACCCTTGTGTACGTAGACACTGAAGGCAAGACACAAACAGGATATACACTGGTAGAAGAGGATTGGTAGAGTGGTGAACACCGTACCTGCTAAGCTAATGCTGCCCTAGGTCTAATGAGATCTGCTATCCAGGTTATTCTTGCCAGCAATGACTTACCTGGCAATTTTCTCCTTCAAAACTGCCCAGTCCCATAGATCTGTTGGAGTTTTGTTCCACATATCGTGCTGAAGGATCTGCAACAAAACATTTTTCAATTATAACTGTAAACATAGCTTTCCTTCAGTGTTAGCTGCAAAGAAAGAAACTCACTCCTTTGCTAACAGGAGAGCCAGCATATGATTCATAAGGTCCATCATGGGCAGCTAGTTCACAACTGGCCTCCAAAGCAGCATAATATATGGTCTCAAAAATCTGGATGTTGAGATGCTGGGCTTCTTCACTTTCAAATGGATAACGCATGAGAATGAAGGCGTCTGCAAGACCCTGAACACCGATTCCAATAGGTCTGTGGCGCATGTTAGACCTCCTAGCCTAGAATTAACACAGATTGACCACACATTAAAATAAAATACACAAATATTTGGATAAAAATGAAGAAGTTTAAATTACCTCAGGAATGGGATAGTAGTTAATGTCTATAATTTTGTTCAAATTTCTTACAATGACTTTAGTTACAGATGCTAGCTTTTTGAAGTCAAACGTTCTTTCAGGGGTGACATACATGTTGAGAGCAATGGATGCCAGATTACACACTGCAACCTAGGATGAAAAAAATTACAAATGATCAATAAAGTTCTTCTTTTCCAATTAGTTGTGGCAGTATCCATTTACCTCGTCTTTGCTTGTGTATTCTACAATCTCAGTGCACAGGTTACTGGATTTGATGGTGCCTAAATTCTGCTGGTTACTCTTCCTATTACATGCATCTTTGTAGAGCATGTACGGTGTCCCTGTCTCTGTCTGTGACTCAATAATGGCATACCATAGCTGCTGGGCCTTCACCACACGCTTGGCTCTCCCCTCCTTCTCGTATCTACAGAAGATTAAAAGTGATGATTAAAACACAATGATTAAACATGAAATGTGACTTAGAGACTTTTTTGTAATAAAAATCTTACTGAGTGTAAAGTTTCTCAAACTCTTCTCCCCAACACTCCTCCAGGCCTGGGCACTCATTGGGGCACATCAGGGACCAATCCTTTAGGAGATAAAAGTTAGTTGGTTGCATCTAAACAACGCATCCTTCCTTTTTGTTCAATTTGTCATATTCACCCCATTGCTTTCCACACGCTTCATAAAAAGATCTGGGATCCACAGAGCAAAGAACAGATCTCGGGCTCTCTGCTCCTCTTTACCAGTGTTTTTCTTTAAATCAAGAAAATCAAACACATCAAAATGCCATGGCTCGAGGTAGACTGCAAATGCCCCAGGTCTCTAAAAGTGATTAAATAAAAATGATTTAATGTGATAAAATTTTAATTATTATTATTAAAATAACAGTTCAGTCTCACCTTGTTTCCTCCCTGGTCAACATAGCGTGCTGTGTTGTTGTATACTCGCAACATAGGGACCAGTCCATTTGAACACCCGTTTGTCTGAGAAGGATCAAAATGAATATTCAATAGTTTAAAATACAAACCATTCACATATACAGAGTTCCTTAAATTGTAGTCTATATTACACACCCCAGCAATGTAGCTGCCTGTCGCTCTGATACAGCTCACAGCTATTCCAATGCCGCCAGCAGATTTAGAGATGAGAGCACACTGCTTCAAGGTGTCGTAAATGCCCTCAATGCTGTCATCCTTCATGGCCAAAAGGAAACAACTGTGTGATATTTAGAAGAATGTTAGAAAGGTTTGTTGTTCAGTTTAAATAATACAAATACTAGCACAGTACTTACCTGGACAGCTGAGGTTTATTGGTGCCAGCATTGAACAGTGTAGGGGAGGCGTGAGTAAACCATTTCTCTGAGAGCAGGTTGTAGGTCTCAATGGCTGCGTCCACATCTTGTTTATGAATCCCAACAGCCACTCTCATGAGCATATGCTGAGGCCTCTCAGCAACTGCACAACAAAAATATGAATATTAAAATCATGATTACACCAGTATGCTGTCTTTTGTATCAATATTACTGACCTTTGCCATTGATCTTTAAGAGGTAAGACCTTTCCAGTGTCTAAAATGAAAAAATATAATTAATTTAGATTTCCAGTTGGAGACAGTATTGTGATCTTTTTTGGGATCATACAAAATTAGGATTAAATGTTACCTTAAAGCCAAAGAAGTTGTATGTAAAATCTCGGTCATAAATGATGGCTGAGTTGAGACGCTACACAAGGGGATATTATGTTAAAACAGAATTGGTGTGACAAAAAGAAAAAAATAAGCCTTTACTGACTGCTTTGTTCTCGAGTATGATGTCCAGTGTCTCCTTTGAAATCATGGGAGAGTGGCGTTTATTCAGTGGATTCACATAGTTGTATATATCCTCCATCACATCTGAAGTTTTGGGCTGAATATTAGTCATAATCAGAGCAATAATAAACATTAAAACTTTTATACATACCGCTGAATACTTTCTTGGTCTCTTTGTGCAAATTGGACACGGCGATGCGTGCCGCAAGGATGGCGTAATCAGGGTGTTTGGTGGTCAGTGTAGCAGCGGTCTCTGCAGCCAAAGTGTCCAGCTCTACAGTGGTCACTCCACTGTACAGTCCCTGGATCACCTTCATCGTGATCTGAGCCTGGAACAATAGAAAGGCAGTTATGATGAATGCTGGTTAATCAATGTTGAAATGCTAGATTCTGATGTTATTGCCAGTGTTTCTTAGGATGAATCTAAACTTACTGGGTCCACAAAGTCAGCATTGAGACCATAGCAAAGCTTCTGGATGCGAGAAGTAATTTTATCAAAACAAACTGCTTCCTGGTGTCCATCTGAAATATATATATATGCAGAAATAAAACTTTAAAAACTAGGTGCTAAAGAAAGATGATCAGACAATATACAGTTTACACTATATTTAATAAATCAAAGAAACTGAACTCTCAATAATCAATAGAAGTCATTAAATCAAATAGCATACAAGACAACACCTGTCAAACATGTTACAACAACAAAGAGGCGCTGCTTCGCGCCAACACTCAAATGTCAAAAGCAGTCAACAAAGCGCCTCTTTGTAATCTTGTATCAGCTGTAAATAGTAGCATTACATTTGAACAGAAGCGTCACAAACGTATATGCAATCTTTATTTCAATTCGGTTATAGTCTTGCACATAGCCTGCACTAATCGAAGACAAAAAGTAATAATATGACACAACAAAACCGATCCTTTCTCTGTTAGGTTCTCAAAAAATCTCTAATGTTACTTAAATGAATATAAACACAATAAAGGGCAGTTTGATTTGTTTTTATATCGAGTTTGTGCCAAGAGAGAAACAATAATCATGCATACTACATTAACAAATAACAGAAAAGCAAATTTCACGAAAAGGAGTGGTAAGAAAAAAGACTTTACTAAAATATTAACCCACCCCAGTTAACCATGATAGGGGTAAAACATTTTGTTAGTCAAGCAGTTTTAATTCAATTACAACAAATGCACATTGGTCTATTGTGCATCAGTTCGTGCATCTTCCCCTTACCTCTCTTTATGACGTGCATTTTCCAAATATTGTTGATCTCAGATTATATGCGGCTGCTCTTTGTAGTAAAACGTAGAAAAGTCCCGTTTAGCAGAGTTATAACTGCTTATAACAGAAAACGAAGAGGACAATCTGCAGTTGAATCCCAAACTGAAGCGCCAACAAGTCAAAGACCGGTTACACGTCAAACTCACCTTAACCAATCAGAGGCGACTCCTTAAGAGATTTTAACCAATGGAAAGACACGAGCACAATCTCCAGACCAATCATAGGCCTCTATTTGAGCCGCATGCGTTTTCCTCCGGCTGTAAAATCTGGCGGGAGGTTTCCTGGTTTCCCCAATAGCGGCAAACCAAGGGGCTGCTGCAGGCATTTAAGTGCTTCTGGTGTGGTGTTTAAATTTGACCTACTTTCTGAAAAGTAGCCTTAATTCTCTTTTCGGTCTCATTTGAATGGTAAAAAATTAAAGAAAAGGTTTAGAGACAACGGTATGAAGTTACCTTGAAAGGAACGAAAATAAGGTTTGATCATATGTGTAGTAAATCATTATACATTCTTTTATTGCAATTTGGTATAATTATTTCCAGCCTCAGATTGCTTGGACAGTATATGGGGCTGACCATGCAAGGCCCAAACATAACGTTTATACTTTACTTTGGTAAAGACAGATAGCTAATGTTTTCTGGATATTCAACAAAACATCAGTTAAAGGTATGTACGACTACTATGTAACGTTTTAGGTGGATAGTCCACCATCTGCTTGCATAGAGAATTACTTTGGTCTTCGAAGAGGTGACCCCACTCAGCTTTTCAATGCATTTTTTTTTTTCTCAGATTAGGGGAGAGCTATGAGAGACCACCATAGTCTCCTCTGTTACAGGTTAACTCTGCACAGTGGATGCGTTGAGGAAGCCTGCTCATCTCTGGACATTTTATTTCCTGTCAGTGAGGTCATGGTGTTACAGGGTCATGGGGGATTAACAATGAACTGATCCCTGTTAATCCACCATCACTGGAGCAATGTCTTATAATGCTTTTATTACAATCCAATTCAAAAGCAAGAAGGGAGCTGTATAGCCACACTTTTTGCATATCATTGTATATCTTCGTAAGGCAAATACATTATTTTGGGTGTATCTTAAGTTTACATGTTGTTTCACATTATTTTCTTAGGAGCAATCTAGTGGGTTATAAAAATGAATACTGGGTTACTGGGAGAAGAGAGAACTGGATCATTGATTTAAAAGTAAAACATTTGTTTGATTGCTTGTTATTCTACTTGTGGATCCAAAAATCCTCCTTTTGGAGTTTGCGTTTTTTGCGTGCCTCCTCAAGGTCCTCAAGTGTTTTTCTTGGGTCCATGATGAACGCTAATGCAACGCCGGCTGTCCCATCTCCATTCTGACGTGAGAAACACAAAAATGTGGCCCAAACAAATGCACAGCAGGCCATGAAAGAGGTCCTTAAATGTGGAGGCATCAGTGCGAAGTTGAGGAACTGAAGATGAAGAGAAGATGTGTTGAATTGTTATCACTTCATATGTGATGCTTAAGTGCTTTTATATTATAATCCTAATAATCTTAACAATTACCTGCATGAATGGCCAGAACAAGAGTCCAGTCTGTAAGAGTAATAAAATAAGGTAAACAAAAATGTTTGAAACAACATGTATAAGAATCTGTGGAAACTGTTTAGGGCAACTCAATTTAATAAGTTTTATTTCAGTCCAGCTATGATGCTTATCTTTTACAGAGCACAAATGATAATGATGGTGGATGTAGATGGCTGCAGCTGGATTTCAGGGGCACTTTAACTATGGTGCTGTTATGGTGCTTTAACTGGTTTGCCCCCAGATCTGAACCAAAACTGAGACTCAAGGTTAATGTACTGATGAATAAGTGTTAAGGTAACATTTAATGTCTCTCTATATTTAAGCATTCAGTGAACTACCTCTATCACTAAACCTGCGTCTAGTGTTACGTTCTAAAACTGCAAACAACATATATTGAAAAAAATTACCTTCCAGGTGTTGAAAAACTTCTCTCTCCAGTCCTCCAAGACCTCATCCTTCCCTTCCAAGAAGCTCACTCCTATAGTGGAACACAGCATACAGAAGGATTTCTCAGAAATTATACTCTAAAGAAAAAATTTAGAAGGCATAGTTACTGCACTATGTCCCCTACTATTCTGTTCAATACACAATAATGCATATATAGGCCTACTTTCATGTACAGTAACTGTATTCAGGCCAATTGTAGATTAAAGAAAAAGTAACTAAACCAGTTTAATGAAACACAATCTTTTGCTGCTTTGTGTATCTATACAGTACATAACAGAACACTGGAAAAATGTGTTACTGACCTGTATAGAAGACACTGGTGGCCAGTGGAGATGCAAAACTTTGATCGAGGAGCAGTTTTTTAAAGAGAGTCCGGGCTGATTTTCCAGGAAAGCGTTGCTCCAGAGCTCGCAGCCAGAAATAGTTAAAGTGCCCCTGAAAACAGAAGCCCACAATGGCCACGTTTCTAGTGTGCTTCCAGTCCATTTGTTCATTTTTGGCCAAAAGCTGATGGACCAGGTCCCCACTGGCAAACATACATCCGTACAAAGTGGCATTGGCCAGCCATGGCAAGCGCCGAGCTACCTCTTTTAAAACTGTTCTCATTATAACCTCTATTATTTTATACTACTTATAATTTAACAAAATACACTTCCTTTATGATTTCTTTGTCTTAAGTCTATCCATGTCTAATCTTAATCCAAATCAACTAAAACACATATAACACAGTTAAATCAAAGTCTATTCCCTGTCACTAACACCAGGCTATCTATTACATGCTAAGCAGAACTAAATTTCTATAGAAGGCCTACAAGGCAAAAATAAAAAATAAATAAATCCATCTAGTTAGTGTCTTAAGTGTCCATTTTGGGGAAAAACCGAATTATCTCAGCCTGGATTCTCCACAGTTGCACCCTGATGGCAGACTTTGAGCATTTGTGTTCTCTCGGATATTCAAATCCCTTCCTCACAAATCCTGCTGCGTGTCTGTCAAACCCTAATCTGATGGATTGCACCAAGCGATAGTAGTGTTCTCTCCTGATCTTCTTACTGTCCATCTGAAATAAGAAATTATTTCAACTCTAGGCCATTTAATTTTAAATTTAACTATTTGTAACCATTAAAGTTTATTTTATATTTTAAAATATAATAAATAAATAAATAATATATAATAATATTATATAAGTTTCCACTATTTATGAGCCTAGATTTGTAACAGTAACCTAAGTGCAATATTCAATAGGAAAATGTTTACATCGTACTGAGAGATACATTGATAACGGGTTTATAATACACGTAAACATACTCTTATTTTGAAGCCTTCAATGTCCATGACGAGCCGGAAGTCCCCGTGTTAAAGATTGTGGCTAATGCTAATGCTAATGGCCCCGTAAAGGTAAACGTATTCTGAAGATGGCCGGGGTGTTTGAGGTGGAGGTTGATGGTGTAGAGCACGACCATGGACTGGAACATCGCAACGAAGCACATCAGGTAATTTTCATTGCCCCGACAAAAGCACTTAATCTGACATTTTCTGACTGAGGGCTAGCTTAGCTCTCTTGTAGCCATGGAGCTATGCTGGTAGCCCGTTGTAGCTCATACAGAGTTTAGGAGCCCTCAGTCTGGAGGATCCAACTTAGGAACCACAATACAAGTTTTGGTTCTAATTGGGCTTAACATTTTACCTGACCTGTCAGTATTATCCAATGCTGTGAGAGCATTCAATGTGAGGGGTACACCAATCATTTAGCTATTCGGTTTGTATAACAATCGATCCTTGTATGAAAGTTAAATTTGACCAAACCCGTCCCTTGTTATGGTCATTTGACCCTATAGATAGATGTCCATGGTTTGACCATGTCAATTAGATCAAATGGGCCTCTTTTTATATGACACTCTAAGACAGCGTATGTGGCTGATCAGGTCAAAGAGCAGTCATCGTTGTCATAGATGACGGAGTTAATTCCTGTGCCATAATTTTCTTCTCATATAATTAATAGTTGTGCAAATAATATATAAACTGTAAAAAAACAACAACACGTGAGTACAGTTTTTTAGGATCTATATATATTTTCATGTTTGTTCATGTTTTCTTTTTAGGGCTTAACATTAACACTAGCTAAATCTCTTCTTGCTTTAAATTTACCTCTCACTAGTCTTATTGCACATTCATGCAGAGAAAATATAAAACCTAGAGTACACATATTAAAACTACCGCCTACAATGCAGCATTCTCTCATTCTTATGATCTTCTTTTAATTGTTTTTCTAGATTGATTTGTCCAAGCTTTCACCAGAGGAGAAATGGAGGTTGGTTTCTGAATGTGCTGCATGATTGTATTACATGTACTTGGGCCAATTGCAAATTGTAGAAGATTTTTACTGACTATTTTATTTTTTCTACAGAGTGGAACATGCACAAATGCATGCCAAACACAGAGGCCACGAGGCTATGCACGCAGAGATGGTGCTGATCCTTATAGTCACTTTAGTTATTGCACAACTAGTTCTTGTCCAATGGAAGCAGAGACATCCTAAATCATACAATGTATGGCAGCATTTAGATACAATTCTTAATGTTTCATATTCTGCATTAAGCATCTCTCTTCTAAACTTAAGCATTCTGCTTTTTGTAGTTGGTGACCCTCTTTCAAATGTGGGTAGTACCACTCTACTTTACAACCAAGCTGCATTGGTGGAGGTTCCTGACCACCTGGTTTATATTTTCCGCCATCACAGCATATGTCTCTTTTCGTGCTACTCGCAAACCCCTTGCCTGCACCACACCAAGGTACAAACCAAAGTGTGCTTTAATTATCACTGGGCTCAGAACAAATCAACTCATCTAATTCTCATTCTTTAACCGCAGGCTGGTGTACAAGTGGTTCCTTCTCCTCTACAAGATTAGCTATTCCACTGGAATAGCTGGATACAGCGTTGTCATGTTTACACTCTTTGGTATAAATCTTATATTCAGGTATGTAACTGTATTTTGTAAAAAAAACAAAACAAAAGGCAATGAGATACAGATTGATAGCCAGTAAGTGGAAGAGCTCCTATAACTCATAAAATGATCTGATTTAAAGGAATACTGCGAACAAGCATTTTTACATTGTGCGCTCTGGCATATTTTTTATAAAACTACTTTATCTTTCTATCTTGTCAAGGATAAAACCAGAAGATGCAATGGATTTTGGAGTTTCACTCCTTTTCTATGGTCTCTACTACGGAGTCCTCGGAAGAGATTTTGCTGAAATGTGTGCAGATTTCATGGCGTCCACAATAGGTGTAAGTTTGACATGCTGATATTTCTAGGGAAAACACTGCCTATCTTAAATTGCTAATCTTTTGACTTTTTTTTCCCATCACACTTTGTTTTCAGTATTACAGTGCCTCTGGAATGCCAACCAAACACCTCTCTGATAATATCTGTGCTGTGTGTGGTCAGCCCATCCTTGTGGATGTGAATGAGGAGGGCATAATTGAGAACACTTACAGGCTGACCTGCAATCATGTGTATCCTTTATTATGTTAAAGTGCATTTGTGAATTACTTGTGAACTGTCATGTCTGTCACTAGAATGTCTATATTGCCTTAATTCTAAATCCAGATTCCATGAATTCTGCATAAGGGGATGGTGCATTGTGGGTAAGAAGCAGATGTGCCCGTACTGCAAAGAGAAGGTTGACCTGAAGAGGATGTTTAGTAATCCGTATCCTTTTTTGAAACATTTTACAATTTTCTATCTGTGTTATTTGTCTTTCTGCTGTATAAAATGTTATGTTATTATTATTAAAATGTTATTCTTCATGGCATTTTTATTTCTTAACCAATTTTTTTAGTTGGGAAAGGCCACATGTCATGTATGGACAGCTTTTGGACTGGCTTCGGTACCTTGTCGCCTGGCAACCTGTGATCATTGGAGTTGTTCAAGGCATCAACTACATCCTGGGTCTGGAGTAAGCCTCCTAAATGTCAGAAATGGACTTTGATGGAGATTTGATGGAGATTATCAAAAGACATTGCACTGGCTGTTGGCCCTATTGTTGAACTATACATCTCTAAAAGTGTCTATCCCTTTTGTACATATTTATAGGCTCAAATTAACTGCATTTATGGTTTATTTTTCTGATTACCCAAATTTTGAAAACAGATTTTTTTTTCATGTCACTGAAACAAAGAGAATTATTGTGTATGTTCTATGGCCTATGGAGCAGCTCTAAAATGATTTTAGAGTTGCTTTTAGTAATTTATTAAATGTCTTAAATGTATAATATTAAAATGCGATAATAAGCAGTTGAGGGGTTATTCTGGGAGTTTCATTTATGTAGACAACAGAGAAAAGGTCATAAGCCCAATACTTCCCCTAAGTAATAATTACTCTATGACTACTTTTAGAATTGACTAACGAGAAGTTGAGTATGTGTTTGGTTCAGTATCTGTAGAGCTTTTTGAAATGTCATGTTTGATTTTGTTTTATGCAAGTCATATTTCCACAATCAAACTGAAAAAGCACCAAATGAATGAGAATTATTAAGAGTAACAGTAATAATCAGTATAACTGCACTTCATCACTAATAGGCCAAATATTAAAAACTTAAATTAATGAACTGCTTTTTGATGGGCACTGAAAATCCTTCTTCTAGAATAACCCTTTAACTTTAACTTTACAAATGATCACAGCAAGGTTTTATCTAGATATGGGAAAGTAACAGGTACTGCACACAGTATACACGTTCTACAGTTTACCTTGATGGGTCTTACTGTGTGAAACAGGGCAGAACTAAACATTTCTGTCAGTATTTTACTTTAAAATTTGAATAATAAATGTCAACACGGTCAACAGTTTTGTGTATTTATTGATTATTGTTTGATTCAAATCCGCTACATGATGCATAACATCACAATATACTACCAAGAGTCAAGGCCTAGTCAGCATGTGTCATTTACCTTATGTGATGGGTCTCATATTGGTTTTTTTTTTTTTGGTATGTGATAATTGCAAAAGGAATTCCCCCACAGCATGACCTTTTGAGTGGGAGTAGGGAAGTCTGTCCGTATATATAGTAGTCATATGGACTCACTAAATAACGCCTACAACAATGAAGCCATCTCAGATTTTCACAGGTAATTGTAGTTGGAGGTACAGTAGCTAATAATATTGTCCATTATGCCATGTTTAACTCATTGTGTGTTGTAGCTTTTTCTACTTACTGCCTCCTTTTCATAGATGGGTTTCCAGGTAAGTCTACTTTTTTTTCTTTTTCCAAGTCTGTTTTGAAATATAATTTTATAGGTGTTAATTTTGTAGTCGTAGATGGCAAGCCAACCATTATTGGACCTGATCGACTGCATATATATACACATTCAGGTAACTTGCGAGAGTCAACATTTCTTCCAACATTTCTTCCTGTGTACATATTGTTTAATATTTGTTTAATACATATGGCTACATATTGCTCAGGGAACCAGCTGGTGCTTCACTGTGAGGCATTTACCACTCAAGATGATGTTACTATTATCTACTGGCTTGTCAACGACACATTTCCAGAAGATGCAACAAGCAGCGAAAGAATTGTGGAATTAGAAGAGTGAGTATAGTATAAACTGTGTAGTTATATTTTCAGCTTTGTGCGTTATCATCTGCAATGTATACTCACATCTTTCTATGATAAAGATCAACAGCACTACAGGGAGAAATCATTAAAAAAGATCTGTTCTTGAAGAAAGTCACAGAAGAGGATTTCAAGGGAAAATTTACTTGTGTAGTGACAAGTGCATTTGGTACAGTTCACAAGTTCATCAAACTGACAATGACTTCTCATTGCAAACAAAAGAATAAGCACTTTATTAGACTTGGATACACAGTTAACAGATATAAAGCAAAGCACAGGAAATATCTTGTAAACTGATATTGTTTTTTAAATGTTTCAAAATATAAAATCTGCTGTAAAATACAAATCTTGGATGTTGTATCGCTCTGATGTTTTTCTTCAACACTAATTTGCTTGCTATTCAAACTAATGTTAATATGTTTTCAGCATTTTAAAGTACTGTAGGCTTCCCTGCTTTGGGTTTTTACTACATAAGCTCTACTAAACACTTCTCTAAGTTTTTGACCCTAGCGTGATACTGGTTTTCTGACATTTTCTTCTTAATAAGAGTCTCAGCCTCTTTTGCAATTGATTTCCATGTCACAGTGAGACTGAACATTTGTTGGATGAGTTCTGTGTTTCTTGTGTTGGACATACCAAATAAGAAACGCATAAAAATGTCCAGTTTACCATCTTCACAAGACAAGCTTCTCTCCAAAGCATATTTGTACAAATCCAAAGAGCCTTTCTTGCTTTTACTGAGCTTCAGTGTCATTCTGCCTTTTGGTGGCTCAAAAATGTTCTTGCCCTCTTTTACTAATGTGAGAAATGCATAGAGAGCAGCGATGTATTCCTGCATGGTGGGGTGGAAAAAGCTGAACAGCCTTTCCTCTACATACAGAAGTGGTTTGGTGTAGAACAAAGTGCCCAGGCCACTGTAGGTCACTGCTTCAAAGTCATCCACTGGTTCCCCTTCATCTCTGTGGTAGTTTATGCTCAGGAAGTACTCTCGTTTTTCCAACATGATGAAGGCACGTCTCCCAAGAGCCATGATGAAATTAAGTTTGTCAATGGTGACTTTTCGGTCCTTGCGATAGTCATGTATAAGAGCTTGAAATAGCTTTGTGTACATGTAAGTGATTCCCTTGGGTAGTTCTGCCTGTGGGGCCTGCTTGGTAAACACGCTTTGGCACAAATCAGACAATAATGAACAGAACAATGGCAGGTAGCACATGATGTGGAGGGTTTTAGAGGACTTGACGTATGCAATGACACGATCAGCTTGACTCTGGTCTTGAAACCTCTTCTTGAAATACTCCTCTCTCTCCTCTGTTTTAAAGCCAAGCACCTCATAAACAAAGTGGTGCATGTCCCAGGGAATGCAGTAGTCCACCAATGGCCGAGAACCAAACAAACAGTAGCCAAATTTCAGTAACTGGCCTCTAAGGATGTTTGCAATCAAAACATTTAGTTTAGCAGGCTCTTGAATGTTGAAAACGAGCTGTGAATTTGAAAAGTTAATATCCTCAGCAATTTCTTCAAGACTATCAAATATATACATAATTTTGCATTCTTTGCTACTGTAGTCATCAAGTTTCAGTCTTTTGGTTTCGGGGTAAAATGAATGTAAAATATGTAAAAATGAAATTGCGTCATCTCCAAACATTTGCTTTAGTTTCTTTAACGGTAATGGAAACATTAACGTAATGTGGTCGTGACTTTTTTGATGACACCAATCGTGAATCAATTTATTGATGACCACTGACTTCCCAGATCCAGCATTTCCATATAATAAAATCAACTGTTCATTGTGGTTCTCTATGAAGTCAGTGCTGAAGATGTCCTTAATACAGATATCTTTGCCTTCCAAAGTTTCTGGTTTTTGTATCGACATCACTTCATGTTCAATGCTGGGACCATTGTCACGCACTGATTTAATATTGACATCTGTGAAAATTTCATCCAAGGGTTTATCTTCACCTGAACATTCAATCACTCCATAAATCTTCTTGAATCTCTCACTTAAATCATAGCGCACTTCATCTGCAAAAAATGAAGAACATGAGACCTTAAATATACAATCAATTATTTCAGTGACCTTTGTAAAAATATGTATTTATTAAATAACAGTATTTACTAATAAACGTGTGTTATTCCAACATATAATACCAATTATTGTATAAACACAAATATTTATGACATAATGAAAAAAAGTATAAAAACTAAATAAATCTTATAGTATTGTTTTCTGAAAATAACTTACTTTGTAGTTCTAAATTCTCAAGAAAATCAACCAGCCTCTTCAGTTCAAGTTCTCGCAGCAGAGTCTTTGTAATTTGCAAAGACACACGTAGGCTGTAGCACTCAAGCATCCGGTCCACTATGTCCACAATATCCATGTTTTGTAGAGGGATGTTGAAGGATTGTGGGTAACGCTGCCACAAAGATGTCCGAAAGGCCTCCAGACCCAATGGTTTCAGCTGCTTTAGGACATCACAAATGGCCTAATGCAAAAGACAATTATAAAACAGAAATTAAATAAATATGTAATAACATAATGATCTAAAAAAAAAAAACTGGAGATCTCACCTTAAAAACAAATGGTATGGTCAGAGAGGGATGAAGAATCTCAGTGGGATTTTCTTTTAGCTCTGGAAAAGTATTATCATCGTCTGCACCATCTTGATTTTTAGCCCTAGATAAAATATAGAAACAATGTAAATATTTATAGATCTATCAAATTTCTCTTTCTCTTGAGCTACAGTACACATACTTTAATGTCCTTTTTTCACAATCGTCACTGTCCACAGAGTAACAGGTAGAAAAAGAGTCTGTTCTTTCTAGATGGATCCTGTAACAAACCAATTTGTTAATATATCAAAAATATATACTATACTATATACTTAATTATACAAATCTTGCAAAAGAATAGGTATATCTTTAAATCTTGTGTTCTTACCTTGTAAGTGACCTGTCATCTTCAGACAAGTTAACAGAACTACCAATGCCTTCACTTCTCATTGACATGTAACTTGCAGCTGCAGACTCCGGGCGTTCCACATAAAGCCTGAAAGAAGAAGCCATTTTGGTGAGTCATTTTTTCTGTTTGACTAATATGTGTGATCCATTCTTCAAAAGCAGTGGTGTAATCAACAGAAAAGGCTATTACAGTGCGCCTGTTTCCATAGGACTTGGCCCTAGGTCCAGAGAGGGTCTTCTTGGTGGAATGTAATAGAGATCTTCATCTTCATCTTCCCCCGGCTGCTCTTCAATGGGCAGGCTCTCCATGCTGGCTGAATTATCTTCATTAAGAAAACTGCCTGCTGGTGAGGCCATTTCCAAATCTAATTCAGGATCTTCCATTATTTTGTATTGAACAGATCAGATACAATATAGGTGTCATAAATTAAAATGAGCATATCTCCGCCTGCAGGAGAAAGACAGGAATAACATTACAGCTCAAGTGTCACTTAAACTGGACCGACTGGTTTTCTCGTAACGACATTTCTTTATATATAAACAGATTAATTTATATTGATTTATTTCAGTTTATTCGTGGTGATAGTAAAGTACTCTGAGCAGTGAACATCAGAATTATTACGTGTAGACAATTTTATGTGAATGAAAACTTAAAAACATCGAACAGTTCAAGCTATGAGAAAGCTTATCTTGTGAGTTGGCAACTGCATTTTAGTAAGACTAGCAGAAGTGCAAAAAGAAACTGTAAATGATGATGGTCTATGTTTTCTCGTTATGTTATAAAACGATAACATTACCAAGACAAGGGCGCCACTTCGTCCATTCTTCATATTTATTATTACCAACTTAAACCAGGAAGTAGCAAAGTCAAAGTTCGTCTACTTCTCTGTCTATCTAATGTAAAATACATCTTTAATACGGCTACTGCCATCTAGAGGCTACAAGCTTTATTGACGCCTTCACATAATCTTTCTTTTTAAGTCCTGGTGACAGAAGTGTAGGTCCGGACCTAATAGTAAGTGGGTTTGTAGTGGTGCCATAAACTTGAAGGGACATTGAACTGCGTCTTTGGGCTCACAAACCTGTCATAGTCTACACATATGCAATAAGCCTACTGTATGTACATAATGTGAATCATGGTACAACTGACTGAACTCATGTTACCTACCACTTATTCTGTCCATGTACCTCTTGTGAAAAAGGGTTTGATCCTGTTGATTACACAGTTTTTTTTTGTCCAAATTTGAGTCCAGTTTCACTGACAACAAGAAATTACGACTGATCCAAAAATACCGAGGACAAATGAGGAACCAGAAGTCCTCAACAACTCATTCGGGAGGTCCTGGAGGATAAAAAAAAAATGCTGTGGTTTGGTCACCTGAAAACCTTGATTTTGATCTCATTTATTCCTGCCTAAGGGGGCTCAACCAGATATTAGGTTTGGGGAACAATTAGGCTACTTTTTCATACAGGGTCAGATATATGTGTATTTCCCCTTCTAACAAATCTTTCTCTTTTTTCATTTAATAACTGCATTTCACGAATAACAAATAGAGGTAAATTGATTTGTAGAGCACCTAGGGGTCTTGCATTATTCATGGCTTTCTCAGGCACATTTAGCAGCTGCCTTCGGACAGACTGACAAGGATGTGGCTGACTTTAGGTGTCAACAGCCTCTTTGACCACAAATCACACGACTACATGTAGGGTGTGGTGTCTTGCCAAAGGACACAATGGCACTTAGTTGGGTTGAGCTGTCAATCTCTGACTCTTGTGGTTTTCTGATGGGCGTATTAGGCTACTTCATCACGTCCCGCACGTAACTCATGAAGAAGAGTACACATGTATATAATATAGCATGTGGACTTAACCAATGAGGAGCCCGTTCAAATATGGGACTTTGAACCAACATACGTCTACCAACTACTGCGAGTAATGTTTATATATTGTATATATTTTCTCTTTCAATTAGTAAAGTTGACATCTGAGCTTTTTAACAGTGTATGAAGTTCAGTGCGTTGGCGTTTCATAAAAGAGCAAATAAAAAAGCTGAACTCTGAAAAAGTGTCCCACCCATCTTCGTGTTGTCACTGACTGAATCATAGAGTGTATTTGCGTCCCTGGTGCCATAGGTGCCGGTTTCCAGTCTGCTGCTTTGTGAGATGGTGTGCCTCTCCTGATCAGGAGGCATTATAAATAATTTATTTAAAAAATAAAAAAGAGACTAATAATAGACTAATAATTCTAGCCAAAAACCTTTGCAATTATCAAAGTAGATATATCAAAATTAAATAGGGCAGCCCTATAAAATTCCACTGTGGTCACATCACAACAAATCAATGCAGAAGATGCCCGTGCCTAGACGATTAGAGTAGACTATTATACGTGAGCTCCTCCCTATTTCGTTCCCGCCTCCTCGTGGCACTTGTCTCATCCGTGCGTTGGTCCAGTGCACAGAGAGGCTGAGGAGGATGCACGGAGCGAGCGCGTCCATCCAGAGGTCCACTGCACTGAGTGTCCGCATCTATGGACGCTCCGGGATCTACTGTTCCACTGTGTTCTGGTCAGCTCTGATGCAACAGCAGCACGGACACTGCGCCTCGCGCCAGGAACAAGGGAAATAGCTTTGTGATGCGAATCGCCAGCACAGGAATGTGTCTATTCGGATTCACTTAAAAGATATATTTGGACCTTCTTCAATGTTTTGTTTGAAAACACACAATCTGCGCAACAAACCCTATTTTCTTCAATTTTCAAGTGCATTTTTCTGAGGAGCTGAGGTGGACAGCCCGGGTAGTGTTTATCTTTTGTCAAGACAAACTTCTACCATGGCACTCGTGATGGAGCCAGTAAGCAAGTGGAGCTCATCTCAAGTAGTCGACTGGATGAAAGGTAAGCTCAGAAAAAACTCCGCAGCTTTGGCCATTTCTTTGTGACACAATGAAAAGAAACGCTTTTGAATCATTCCCTACAAGAAAGATCAAAACACCTGCTGATCCAGGGTTTAGCATAGTCCTGGTATATCCTCAATATCATTATCCCCATAACCGCTAAGTGTTTTTTATGCAGAAACTATTTGTATCGATACCCTCAACAAATTCAAACAGTGGGCGTTTTAGGAATCTCTATTGTGTCTTGCAGCGCTAAGTGTTAACGCGTGAGACTCCCTGGCAAACAGCACAGATCCAGTTATAATTACATGAATAATAATGATGCACCTTTCTTTGGATCTAAGAGACCTGAGACCTGGGGCAATTAAAGAAAAGGAAACATGTAAGCACATAGGCTTAGTTACTATTTAGTAAATGGGGATCCTCTATTGCTTTCACATCTGCTCGCCTATTTGCTACTTTTATCACTTTTAGGTCTCTTTCTGAAATATTATGCATAAACGGTGGTATATTTTGGAGATATGAAGATGGACCCCTGACACATACTTAAGTGTTCTACAATGCTGAATTTTGGGATCATGACTATATGATATGGTTAATGTATACTATTTTTCTTCTGCACTTGACCCATCCTTTAATGTCACTGGGGCATCCTGCCATGAGCTGGAGTAATTGTCTCACTCATTCATTCCTTGATTGGTTTTAGGTGATAGAACTTAGTTTACAATTAGGCATATATTATATTATACTTGTAAATCGAAATGATCACATAACTGAAACATCAAAATAGCTTAATCTATTTCATTTGGTGCTGCCTAAATTGTTGTTTTATCATTTGTCTACTCTGCATCAGTAACTGTTTTAGATTATGTTAATCTTGATATACATAGTCCATCTTCTCTATTTTGGGTGGTGTTGTTTTGCTCATGTCCTTTCAGATGACATATCCACATTTAGTGCATACATCTTTCACTGCTCCACAGACACCTCCCAGGTCGTAACTCAGAGACTGGCTGCCTCCTCTTCTCCCTCAGATTTATGGTGATAGTGAAGATCAGGCCTGATTCAATGTATTACACACTAGAGCAGCTTTTTATGAGACATAAAATGTTCCTGCACCTGTAATGGGTAAAAGACACTAAAATGACAGAAACAGGGAACTGATAGAAATCCTAATATCTCAGATTCTTCAGTAAATCGTATTTAGTTAATATGGCGGAGCTCTAAGCAATGAAACCATCAAGTTTTAGACAAGGGTTAAAAGCTTGATCAGAGCTGTTCTTAAAACCATTCACTTCTCTTGTTTCAAAATGATACAAGAAAGAAGCTATTTTGAAATTGGACGAGAAGTGTTCAGGGGTGAGTGATAGTGGCTACAGTATCTTAATCAACCAGACAAATGATTTTCTTCTGTGCAAAACACCCGGGGCAGTGTGTCATATACAGAGCATTATGACCCCACATAATGAAATTATTTCAACAGAGAGGGTCATGTGTAAAGTTATTATATATTTAGTATTTTATAAGTAAATTAATAGGTACATATCTGTTTTGTGTGCAATCAGATTTTCCCAAAATAATCTTGGGGGCCTGGTTCTCAAGATGACACAAGTTATATTACTATTTGTAAAGAGGCAAATCTAATTGTATGTTTAAAAGTTGTTGTTTTAAGTTCTGTTTTGTTGATGAAAGTCCTTTCAAGTATGAAAATTAATGTTTAACAGGCAATATAGCAAAAAACAAAAAAACAAAAAAACAAACCTAACAAAAAAAACAAAAAACAGACTGAATGTGACTCATATGATACAGCTCTTTGTGTCCCATATTTGACAATTGGAGCAGCGACTGTTTCAGTGCCCAGAGCTTGCTAATGCTAATTTAAAGTGCAGGGGAGGGGAACTGTTTATTCTTGTCTCCTCAGCTCTGTAAAGACTGGCAGCGTTTTGTCGGCTATACCATTCACACGTCCCATTATAAGCACTGCACTCTGGGGTGACACTGGAGGCCAAACAGGGCCAAACTGTGACCTTCCCACAATCCCACAGGCTGCTCCCTCCCTCCATCTCCTCCTTTAGTGTTTTTGTGTGAGAGAGGTGCCCCATTCCCAGCTGTGACAAAGACCGTTTAAACAAGAGAGTCTCATAAGTAAGCACAAAGGATTCTGACTTGAGTGACAATTTGTCCCAACTAGTGGAGTGTACTGTGACTGTGTAAAATGTAAACACAAATTCAACAAATACACTTTCATGGCATTTGGCACTTTTATAACATGTTAAACTGGAAATACTGGAAACTACTGCAAAAAGTCCTGACAAAATGTTATATTTAATGGGACCATATTACCTTATTTTCTTATCTATGTTATAATGTTGTTTCCTCATCAAAAACACACCTGGAGTTTTGTTTTGTTTCATTAACAATGCACACATATAATGCATATTGACTCTGAATTTTTCGCTCAAACAGAAAACACCTTGTGATGTCATGTGATAATACAGGAAGTGCATCACTCTTTTTAATCACCTTACAACTTCACTAGAATAATGTGGATAATTTCAGATTTGTAACTGACCATCTTTACTGAAAAAGGTAAAAGGTAGGTGTTAACTTGAAAACCACTACATGGCATCACAAGGCGTAAATGAGCATTTTGAACTTTGAAGATGTAGACATGCAGGCTAATAGTAAAAGGTTACTCAAACATGTGTAAATGAAACAAAACACAACTTCACACATGTTTTAGGAGGTAACAACATTGTAACATGCCTTAAAACTGACAAGAGTAAAATTTGCGTCATATCAGAGCTTTAATGAAGATTTACTGTAACGTAATCCGCAATTGAACTTTATGAGAAACTTATAAAACCCTGTGTATTTTGATGTTTACCCTTTTGAAGTACTGACAATGCAGTCTTAGTATAATCCCTTATGATCCAAAGAATAAAATTAATTTCTGTTTTGTTTTGAAATCAGTTATATCTTCAGGCTGTCCACATGTCTCGTTCTGCTTTTCAGACACTGATCATGTCAAGAGTGACAAAAAAAGTGCCATTATCACAGAAAGAACAGCCTTGTCAGTCTGCTGCAGTGCCATTAGTGGATTATGTCAAAGAGAGATTAGAATGTGTTGGTGCTGTGCTTTTAATTTCTCCTCCGCATGCTTGATAATCTGACCTATGGAGGGACAGAACAGGATCTCTCATGTACCACAGATTACACAGTGTCAGGGGATCTGCAGTGGCTCCCCTTTCATCATGCCAGGGACAAGTTTGAAACAAGATATTACATCTCTCAAATTGTATTGAGTTCATGGGAATATTACAGTAATAGGGCTGTTTTAGAGGAAAATGTAAAAGATGGTTATGTACAGTTTTTCAGTTAGATAGTCAATTCAGCATGTGTACTATGTAATAGATAGATATTGTTAAGGGATGAAATTTTAGAAAATGCAAGTTTTGGGCCAGTTGGATTTAATTGGGAAATCTATTGGCAAACTTGCTTTATATCTTCTTTTATCAGTATCAATATGTTTTTAATGTATTATTTAACATTGTGAAGTTATGAGGTTCTTCATTATTTTGGTGTAGTCCATTTTTGTTTAACTTAAGACATGCTCTATTCATCTATTAATCGACTAAGAGGGAGGGCGGCTTGGCATTGGTGCTGGTAAAAGTTAGCATTAGGGTCTCATTCAAAAATTGTACTAAAACTGTATCTTTTAAGTAAAGAACCAGCTCAACTCCATGCATTTTTTCTCTGTGGTTGTGTACCTGAATTCCTGAATCCAAATAACAGAATTAGTAGACTAATAAAAAATAATAGGTGACTAAGACTTCATCAACCAATTAATCTGTAGTCTACAGGCCTAGTCAGATATTATTTACACCAGACCTGTTACAAATCTATATCAGTAGCTTTATCAGAGTTTAGGACCTGCCTTCCTCGAGTAGGCTACTTCAAGTCTTCCCGTATTTCTTCATTTGTGCCTGAGGTCAGAGAAACCCCAGCCAAAACGTTCTTACACGTCTCCATGGCAACTCAAGGAAATACTTCATTGACAAAATGAGACTCAATTAAGCCAGTAAACAGGCTGATTATTCAAGGTTTGAAGGTTTTTGCAGTGGCATGAGACCCGTTAAGTTTCCAGTGTTTAGCTGAACTGCCAGTCGAACCCAACAGGAATACTAGATCAGGGCCTTGGGCTTCAGTGTCACGTGTTGGATGGTCTTTTCTGTGATGAGCTCAGGGCTGAGAGAAGAGAGAGGCTGAGGGTTTAGAAAATACTAACAAAGGATACTCTCTGTCACCAGCAGGAGAAGGACCAGTGATTAACATGCTGGAGGCTGGTTGGTATCTGAGAGTATATGCACAATTCTAATACAAAGCTATACAAGCTAAGTATAATAAAAATAAACATAAATGACAAAGGTATACAGATGTGTGTGTTAGGTTTTGTTCACATTTGTTAATAATGAAGTACTAGTAATAATACAGACTTTGCCTTAACTGCAGTGTGATTCCAGCATTGTGGAATTTTTTAAGCATGCAATACAGTTCTGAGACTTCAATGTAAACACGCACATTTTTAATAATTAATAATAAAAAATAACCAATAACCAGTGGGACGTTACAGAATGACAAGAAATTATTATCACAAGTTGCTTCAAGTCTCTTAAAAGGAAGCACAGGTACAGCTACAGATTATTCCAATTTGTTCACAAATGTTTAAGTTTTGGTGTTTGAGAAAATCATTATGCTTCTGAAAGGCTGAAACTGGACGTATTTCTGAAAGTCGTGTTATTGTTGATTTTCCCCAGCAACTGCCAATCAAATATGGCCGCTTTGACACTTCCCACGCAGTCATGATATTGCAAATTATCCAGGCCGGCCCCCTTTGGTTCTCTGTAGAGGTTGTTCAGTATCTAATACAGCATTTTATTTAGCCACATACAAATGCCACTTCAATCATAAATTAAAAATGAAATTAAGCATATCAAGTCATCTAGTTTACCAATGTCCCTTTCCGTGGACCATTATATCTCACCCATCACCATGCTACACCATATCAAAGCATGATACCAGATTTTTAAAACACAAAAAACTGAACTAGTTAATAAAAAAAAATGTTGCAGTTGACCAATTATTCCTAAAGTACTGTATGCATTCCAAGCATCCTAATTATTCCCAGTGATGAGTTTATAAGCACAACTCAGGGACCAGAGCAGAGTTTTGCCGCCATAGTAAACCTAACAACAATTAGCTTGGTAATGTGCTTTTCCTGATTATTAGATGCAGTCAGGACTTATTGTGATCACAATAGCTGCTTTTTAAAATATATCAATATTGGGGCAAGACAATTTTTGCTCAAATACATGGGGAAAAAAATTGTACGATCTGCCTATTTATGCCTTTGAGCACTTGAGAATTGTTAAGAAGCATTTAGTTAATATAACATTATTCAAACAGTGTTCATGTGGTGTTCTGCAGGTTTGGACGATTGTCTGCAGCAGTACATAAAGAACTTTGAGAGAGAAAACGTGGGGGGAGACCAGCTGCTGCGGATCACCCATCAGGAGCTGGAGGACCTGGGTGTGTCTCGGATCGGACACCAGGAGCTCATTCTTGAAGCTGTCGATCTACTTTGTGCTCTGGTTAGTCCCAAACACCACACTGTACCGTAAATAGGCCAAATTGCAACTGTTGCATTCAGCGTTGCACATTTTAGAAGAATAATCATTTAATTATTTATTTTTGCAAATGAATAATGTGGGAAGAAAAGGTCTGTTTAGCATGCCCTGAATGACAACAGCTCTAGTCATCCTATTTTGCCCCACCCACTTTTACTTCTGAATGCTACTGCATTTTTCTTGTTTTAGCGTTCATTTCAATGGAGAATGAGAGAAAAGTCTTGTCACTAAAGTGCACCAATAAGTCAAAAATGCACAATTTCTCAGGGTAGCTTGAAAACAGTTTCAGTCTGTATATAATGTATATGCAGTCCAGATTGGCAACCCCATGCAAAAATGAAAAAAAAAAGGGCCACAGATAAACTTTTCAATTAAGGTGAATATTTGTAAACACTTAAATGGTTTTTATATTCTTAGGACTTAATTTATATATTTCTGCAAGAAGCTTTAGTATTTGATCACTGACCTTCTGAACTGGGGAAAAGGTTTTCAGACATCACTGAAAACATGTGTATTTTAATAATCAGCCTCAAATATCCTTGGCTGTCAGATCTCCCATCTGTCATTAGTGCTGACAAGGATTACTGCCTCTTTTACTTCAAGTGATTTCTCAAGTATAAGTAGTTTTATCAAGATGTGCTGATCAGATGCCTGTGGGCATATATGACACCTACACATGTCATGTATAAAAACATTGTTGTGAAGATATGCCAATAGACCAATAATGTGTAAAGATTGTGACTTGTTTAGTCATTTTCTACTATTCACAGTTACTCAGCTTTATTAGCACTTACTACGCCAGAGACTATGATCAAACTCTGTAATGACTTCACATACACTGGCCACTGTAGCTCCATTTGCTCTTTGGCCACCAATCAAAAATAACATGCAACTAGAATATTTTTCCTTTATGCCAAATATTTGTTGGTGCAAACATTTGTCACGAAAGAGATACACTGTGGGATGTTTTTTACTGTTAAATCCAAATCTACTTTATTTAATTATCACATTTTTATAAATGTAACAGTTTCTGCAAGGGCTGCCCTGTTTATTAGTACTAAGCCTACAACAATCCGATCTTCTTACACAAATCAAATGTATTTCAAACAAACACATCCTGATGCAACAGGAAGCAATAACTGTTGGACACCATTAATTCCAACACTGTTTAGTGGTGCGTTTCAGGTGTACTGAAAAATCTGGTAAATATTAGACTACAAGTCAATACACATTTACCAGTTTATTCTGATATGTTGTCATATTGGGACAAATACAATACTTTATACTGTAATTCTTGCTACTTTAAACGTCTTTTCAACCTCACAGATGGTGGTCTTCTAATTTCTCCAATATTTTTGTCCAGTCTTGTGCTTATTTTAGCCACTTGCTGAAGAGCCAGTCTGTGCAACTGTGAGTTTGTAAACAAAAGATTTTCTGCTCTATTATGAACATTAAAATGGACATGGACAATGTCAGTTCTACATGCACCATAAGGATGCCCGCTTTAACACAGGAGACCAAGAGATTTAATGTTCACAGGTCACAGATGCTATCTCAGACTATAGTCTCTTGTCCAGCCTGGCTCATGGGGGCGTGGGGGTGTCCTGCAACCACCCCAAAGCTCCTTACATAACTGGGATTTGCCCTTAAGTCCGAAAGGCAGTGCTGTATTAAATGTGATTAGTGATTCTCCAGCCTCTCTCTCTCTCCTCTCCCAAGAAACAGTGAGGTGACAGATGCCTGCAGCGATCTTGTGTGTGTTTGTGCAATAGTCACTGGTAACGAATGCTCAACTTTCCGTGCACATGTGAAGTGACAGCCGCGGCGAGCGGACAGCCTCAGTACCACACTGGTTTGTTCCCTCACGTGGCAGCGGTCACATGATCAGTAGTCTTCTATAGAGATGGTCATGCTTGCCATTTGTCAGCTATGGGCAGTTTAAATGATCACATAAAGGCAAACAGTTGCCCCAAACCAAAGATGGAGCCCAGGTTGAGATGATGAGACTGACTTAAATTAAATGAATTAAACTCACTACCTTTCAGTAATCTTCTGTGTCTAATCTGTAGTGGTGGTGGTGCTTTATTTACTTGCATTACTTTAGTTAATTACACCAAAACAAATATGTTCTATAACTTCTAGGCATTTCCTTATATCAATGATGGTGCACTCTTTCCAACAACAGCTATCTTTCAGTATTTGTACACTTGAACGTTTGTGTCCATAATCACTTATCCTTACTTATTTTATCTATCTATCTATCTATCTATCTATCTATCTATCTATCTATCTATCTATCTATCTATCTATCTATCTATCTATCTATCTATCTATCTATCTATCAATAATATGAAACCAATAGTAGTAAAGCAATATTCTTCTCCCTTAGAACTATGGCCTGGAGACTGAGAACCTAAAGACTCTTTCTCATAAACTGAATGCATCTGCAAAGAACCTGCAGAACTTTATCACTGGGAGGCGCCGCAGCGGACACTATGACGGCAGAGCTACACGAAAACTGCCTAATGACTTCTTGACGTCAGTAGTGGACCTCATCGCTGCAGCCAAGAGCCTCCTGGCCTGGCTCGACAGGTGAGGGCTGCAAAGTGCTTACACATACATATTAGATCATCACAAACTTATTCATAATCCTTTTTATATGAAGAGCAATAGTAATTGAATATGCTGGCACTGCTTATTTTTTATGTTTTGTCAAGTAATTGTTTATCCAATTACATCTATATCTAATCCACTTAGGAAAACAAAAAGCTATTCTTTTGTTTTTTTTGTCATTTTACTCCATATTGTCCTAATATAAGTAGGTAATTTTTGCCATAAATTGACTAACCATAGTGCCATTCAGTTTATTTTGATAATATGAATTAATTTGACTTGATACTCTCGAAAAGTATTCCTAGCCTTAGTGTTGCGTCTTTCTAGAACATGCAAGAGGAGCACATAGCATTGGTTTACATTGACAACTGTTATAAAATTAGTGGAAAAATGAGACGCATGAGATTCAGTGCAGTAAATGATACACAGCCCGTTGGTCTATTTGCCAGTAAAATCCTGCCTCTGAAATGTTGTTATAATCCTGGGACAGCTTTATGTTTAGACCACATTTGCATTAGATTCTCTCACTATTTCCATAACTAATCAACTAACAAGGAAAGAAAAAAGCTTGGAGGGAGATGGCCTCACAAACATCAGGCAAATCTATTTTTACATGGATTTATGCCTCTGTGGGAAGGAGCCAGTGTTTCTGTCTGTGTATGATAGATGTGCAGTTTGAAGATGACAATGTTGAATTTAAATAATAATGTCTAATCCCCCCTCCCCCCATATATGTCACTATATATCACTTTGGAATGAGATTAAATTGTCACTTTTCTGTTTGAAAAAGATTTCTCAGCGTTAGAGACTAGTTAAATACATACTTAATTTTCAACTGTTTTATAATCACGTATGTAAATTTACACAAAACATGATTTTTCTGGTCAGAGTATAATTGTTATAGAATAAATTGATGGAGCCTGAGAGTTGAAAGAATAGGCATGAGGTTGGAGTTATCACAGCAGAAGTTTATTTACCGTACAGGACTGGGACCCAGAGACATGCACTCTCAAGACAATGTTATAGCAGTGTCCAGTCCAGTCCAGCCCAGTCTAGTTATGCTTTCATTATAAAGACTATTATACCTCTGATGAAATAGGCCAAGACAACATGGATTGAGCTGGCAGTGTGGGACTGACACAGCACAGAAATGCAATGTCTGTATCAACAATATTAAGAGAAAAATTTTGAAGCAAAATTAAGTAATCGATTTTCTATCAATATTGCAAAAAAAATAAACGTACAGTGCTTTTTTGGCAGGTAGTGTTTTTGTCACATTAACTTGACTTTATCATGCAAAAAGATTGATTTAGACACTTACTAGAAATTATCATTTATTAGACAATGTGATCAAAAGAAAACTTTCACAATATTGTTGTACTATAAATGTTGTTCATAACTAACTTTACCAGTGATTTTCATTTTACCAAAGGATGGTCTAATGGTTCACTCCAGGTGCTCTTTCTTTTTCAGATCTCCGTTTGCAGCAGTGGCTGATTACTCTGTCACCAGAAATAACGTCATCCAGTTGTGTCTTGAACTGACCACAATTGTACAACAGGTACACAAAATAATTTAACTCAGACCCAGAAGTGAATCACATTTGACGGAAATGAGCAGAGGTGGCACTTATTCATTGAACTCATTAGTGACGTGAGAGAACTAGCAGTGCAGTAGTGTGGATGTATTCAGCTACAATTATTCAAGGCTCATGGAAAATGCAGAAACTTTGCTTGAGAGTCAAAATTTGTAATTGCACTAGAAATTTGTATTTGCACTAGAATATTGCTACTTAAAGGTAAACTATGTAACAACTGTGGTGAGGGTTCTAATTCCTGCAATTCCTACTTGCATTTATTCAATTAGAGATGTTATTTTGTTATTTATTCTATTATTTTTATAGGCTCACCTCTTTACAGATCTTACTTGGCCTAATGCCATCATATGTTCATCTTCATGGAGATTGATCTTTAAGTTGAAAATATCCTACAAACTGCCATTTATTCCTTGGTAACTAGTAACAACAGTAATGTATTATTTTTTTCCCTTTACAATTCCATGCATTATTATTTAGTGGGATCTAATTCCATAGCCGCAACTGCCCTGTGGTAGAGAAACAGAAGAGTGACATACACAGACTGTAAACAGAGCTTACTAATTATATATTTACTTTGCATCACTGGTACCAGATTATTTCTAAGTCTTGATCATTAAAGAAGTGCATTGAATGATATGATGATACATGATGCAGTGATGAAAGATGTTTTAAAAATTATGCAAATAACCGTTCAAACATTAGTCAGATGTGAAAGCTTGTCAAGTGCAGACATGTACTGCTAATGAGACTGATACATTACAGGAAGTAGGGAGATTCTCAGTCTGTTGGCGGTGCTGATAGGAGAGCAGGGGCGGGAGTGCAGGGGGCGGATGGAGGGACAGGACAGAGGAAAGACAGGCCGAAGCGATTGAGACATGCCTCCGCGTTGGTGATTCATTTGTTTGGTGTTTGTTGCATGTCTGTGTGGGAGTGCAAGGGGGTTAGAGGTGCCAAGCTGCTCAGATTTTTTGCTTAGATCCACCTACAGCAGAAATGCCAATAATAACTTTATATTTTGAAATATTCTCTGGAGGTAACTCGGTGCTCTGTATGTTTCCCAGGACTGCTCCGTCTATGAGACCGAGAACAAAATCCTTAATGTGGTGAGTTATCAATCTCCACTTAAACTATAGCTTGCAATGCTTTCATATACACTAATCAGACAAAACATTGTGGCACAACATGTATGCCAGAATCAGAAAGAAATGTCAAATGAAGAATATTATATGTATATTATCATAATTATTATATTTGAGTTTTCCTATGGGGAAAAAACAGGTCCCCTTACTGCCCCATTCATTATTAGATCAACAACATGGTTCTAAATTCAGATTCTGGGTTAAAATAGGTTAAGATTAGGCAAGCAATAACTATAGTTACATTTCTAAACATTTTTGTATTTAATTTACAAACTTTGGAGAAACCCATGTTGCAATACTCAAGATTACACTTGGCACATTCTTCAGATATTACGTGCAGCCTCGCTTCAAATGTTCTCTGTTGTCCCCAGTGTAAAACCCTGTCTGAAGTCTGCGACCACATCATCTCACTTTCATCTGATCCAATGGTGTCTCAGGCGGCACATTTAGAAGTGGTGCAGCTTGCCAACATCAAATCCACTGAAGGACTGGTAAGGATGTTCTCTCCACACCCCATGCAAAGCTCTGGCCCACTGTCTACTTCATGTGATTAAATGTTTTTTATCTGTGGGATACAGGGTCTGTGCAGGTGGATTATCTTCTCTAAACACACAGCATGCATGTGTGGAGTTAATTAGCATTATTGGTGGTAATCTAAAGGTCAGAAGATTTATGCCCATAGGAATATATTGTGCTATTTATGTTTGCAATACTAATTTACATAACAGAAATATTATGTTTTTAGGGAGTAATTTACATACAAAGAGTTACAGTGCTTTACAGGCTCGTATCTTTTCAGGTCTGGATAAATGTGATGGGATATGTATTTAATAACAAAAAAGTGATTTTTATTGTGAACACTCAACCTTTTCATTGTATGAATCTAAAGTACAACACACAGATCTACATGATGTTTTCTTACTGCTTATAGCTGATGAAGAAGAGGTTAGAAACAAACACAACACTTGAAAGTACAGAAAAAACAAGAAATGTAATTATTAGCCCATGCAGGTGCTTCAGATATCAGTATTATCCCAACATCACTGTGGAGACATGCAGTAAATGTCATACAGGACAATATGACATATCTTCTGGGTCCTTTTGTCTGCACTATACCAGAACACGTGACTGCCTATATCTGCTGTGAAACATACATTAAAAGATCAATGTAACCATTGGGTACACTGTGGGTTAGTGCAGGAGACAATCATGCTTTCACAGCTAATGGGATTGTTACCACTGTGAGTTTTATGTTTTAGATTTTATGTTCCACGTGACAGTCTGAACATATCTAAAATGGTCTAAATCTAGCTATACAAATCTAGCTTCAACTACAGATCTTTCTGTGTATATAGAGAAGAGTCCTATAGTAAAGGTACTGGTGCACATTAACATCAGTATGACCTATGATGTCTGCCCTGAGTCTGTTTGGTTTGTTTGAGCTTGTGGGCAGCTGAATCACCTGATTAAAATTAGCAAGCCACGTTCAGACCAGACAGTACACTACACCCATAAAAACATACAAACTGTGTCCATATTTTTGAGGAAAGTGACATAAATGCAGATATAGTCCCTTTATAACATACTTTTCTGTTCTGGACTTATGCACTTGACCTGCACTTGGCGCCTGGGGCCAAAGGGAAGACCCCACCCCCACATAGCTAGTGGGGGGGCAATGGAAGTCCTCTCATGCGTTTAGTGAAAACCTGAACACAGCAGTGGCCTAAAAATAAACCTCTTACTTGTCTTGGAGACGGCTGTGCCATTAACGTGTGTGTGCCGCCATGTGAGGCCTACTCAAGCGTGGCTCTGGGTTAGAGTGTCTCTGCACTTTAGACCCCTTTTAGCTTCAGGAAAAAGATGACCAACATTTCAAACAAGCTTGTTCAAGCTACTTTCACTGTGAAAAAGCACTGTTAGAGCTGGGCGACATGTATCAAATCATAATCTGATCCCTGTGTCCGCAAGATTCACAGTTTCTTACAATTTACAGTTTAATGTAGCTGTCTAAACACAGATTTTTTTCTGCTTTGAATGAGTGACAGCTGGATTTAACCAATCACAGTGAGTTATAAACTTTCAGAAGAGGCAGATGACTGTTTAATGGCAATAGAAACATTCAGAGTGTACATGAATTGTGATAAGTAGCCTTTAATGTGGTTTGAGTTATAAAACTTTAATATTTTAGAACTGACAAAATATAAGATATTTTAAATGCAATGAGTCAGTAATCTTTTTTATGTTTTTGATTTAAGGACTAATAATTTTCTAAGCTTTTATATTTTTTCAATGGGTAAAAATACTGAGAAATTCTTTACACTGTAAGCAGATTGAAAACAATATGTCAACATGCAGTGACCCCTCTGTGATGTACAGATGTCTGCATGGATAATCTTAGATCCTGATTTGTTTAATGAGCCTTGTGTTTACTTTCATGTTAAGTTATACACAGTGTTTTCACTCTGTCCTTCCCTAGGGCATGTACATAAAGTCAACATATGACGGGCTGCATGTGATCACAGGCACAACAGAAGGGGTAAGGCCACTGCAATATGAGAGGATGGGGACTTGTCATTGATGTCATGCTTTTAGTTATGATGTTGTGAAACAGGGAAATGTCCAATAATTCCTGTGCTGATTTTTGTAGTCCTTGGCTGACCGCTGTAAGAAGATCCATGCGGGAGATGAAGTCATTCAAGTCAATCATCAGACAGTGGTGGGTACTCGATAACTATATGCTATACATACATACATACCACTAAAAGTGAAATTAAACCTGCAATGATACAGAATTATTTACAAAGAAACTGAGCAGTAAACTGTGATTGTATTTATATGTGTTATGAACTGAAAACAATACTGCATAACAGGGAAGGTTCAACTAGGTGCTGCAACCTATCATCTGTTTATTTCCAATATTAGCTAATGTAGAAGGAAAAACTATTCAAATTTGGCAGCTTTTATTGTTCAAGATTTGTGTTGACTGTTGCAAACTTAAAGGTGCATTGTGTAACTTTTCTGGTGGAGGGTCCATCAAAATCTTTTCACCATGGAAATGTTTTTGCTTGTTTAAAATGTTTCACAGTGTTGCATTAAACCTTTTTGTCTTCATGGAGACCAAACCAGACCAAGTTACAGGTCAGATCTGTGGTTAGGCAACCATGCTCACATTCAGAAGAGATACCTTTTGGGGTATTTTGAGCTGTAAAACGATCTGGAATTGAATAAATGCAAGGTAAACCTGTTTGATGTCACACTGTGGAACATTCCAGGCAGAGCAATGACATCTCCATAGAAACAAGCAGGTGATGAACCCCCAATTAAAAAGTTACAAAGGGCAACTTTAACATAATTTGATCATATGTTATTAGGTTCTTTTTTTCAGACCTAGAGTGTTATTTCATACCTGACAGTTTCGACTGCCCACTAGCGTCTTCCTCAGAGTGGTCACGTGATGTTGCTGTGACGTGTCTGGTCAGCTGATTTAAACAGGTTTTGGCGCTGTCTTCCTACCAGTGGAGGCAGGACGACAGCGCCATCTGTAGTCTGACTTCCTCAGGACAGCATCCCAGGTGTGTGAGAGTAAAAAAAGCCCCCTCGTCCCGGTTTACAGTCCTGTGGGCACGTGTCCGTATTTCGACATGTCACAGCAACATCACGTGATCACTCTGAGGAAGACGCTAGTGAGCAGTCGAAACTGTCAGGTATGAAATAACACTCTAGGTCTGAAAAAAAGAACCTAATTACATAGAATATCGGAAGACCAAATGAATCTCATTGGATCATTTGATCATGCCCATTATGTTATAGTTCCATATTAAGAAATCTGTTACTTGTATTACTTGTATCTTGAATAATGGCAATTTTTGAAACGCACATACTTTAAATTCAATTAAATTGTAGCACAAACTTCCAGTCATGCACACTTCAAAAATAGCAGCCATTGTCTAAAATAATTACTACTTGTGAGGGCAACAGCGAGGAGTGTAATGATTATGCAGGCGGTGAGTGTGCTGTGTTTCAGTCAGTTCACCCACAGAAAAATGACACTTTCAACCAACAAACTTTATTTTCTAGCACTGACACTTTTTATCTGTCCTTTGAAGTTTGAAAATGCCCTGACCTGACGACAGGAGGTCTGTGCTGGTTTTCCATCTGTCATTCAAATAAATTGTCTCTGCAGGCTATTATCTGTAGTTAGTTTAGCAGGAAAGGTTCAGTGATTCAGAAGCTTAACTAAACATCTCTTTGCATCACATCTCACTGATAACTATGATTGCTGATAACTATTGAAATGTGTCATGCTGCCTATTTGGTTTGTTTGAAAGGAGATAGTTTCATTTACTGTCTAATATATTATGTATTACATATAATTAATTACATTTTTAGTGTGGTATGTTAATATGATAAAAAATAAAATTCTAGAAAATCTCTAGATTTTGAGCAAGGCTTGGTCTGAATTACTTGAGCTGGAGGATTTTACCTATTGTGTACTTACCCAGACACAAGGAGAAACATGCAAACTCCACACAGAAATGGTCAGGAATTTAACCTGAAATCTTCTTGCTGTGAGCTGAGCTGCTAGCACTGTGACACAGCAATGACTGGTAGATTATCATAAACATTCACACAGATCTAGCCTAGATGTAAGTAAATGCTTGGTGATGGAGACTGTGCAGTGTAGAAGTGAAGGAAATCATTCTGCTGCAGCTTCACTAAATGAGCAGCATCTGTGAGTGACATGAGTGAGTCTGACAGCTGGAGGAGGTGCCAGCCAATCATGAGACAGTATTCATGTCATGTGATCAGCCAGTGCCACTCATCTTGACTGACAAACTTTGCTGTTGCGGAACTGGACATGTTAAGTTTATTACATTTGGTTGGTTGAGATTAGTGACAGTTTGGGAATGATTTTAGAAACACTGGTCATAGCGCAAATATATCACGGGCTATGTTTACATGCTCACCAAAAATCTGATCATTATCTAATTATCAAAATGTCAAGTCAACAGTAACATCAGATATGAGTAATCTGATTTCTGATCTTTGATTTCACAAACAGAAAAATGGAATTCATGTAGGAAAGACATAAAAATTAAAGGGAAAATAGTTAATAAGTTAAATTCATTGTAATTTCTCTTCCAAATATAACACAATCGAATGATTAACTGACACATGTGGTAAAGGAGTAATTCAATTTGTCAACTGAACAAAAGTCTATTTAGGTCGAATACGTTTCACAGCTCATCCAGTTCCAGAACTGAAGAAGAACTAAATAAACTTTTGTCTAGTTGACAAATTGAATTTCTCCTTTGCCAAGGATTCTACCTGGACGACTGAGGAGTTTTACACATAACTGACACATGGTTTTGTTTTTGATTAGCATATTTCTTTTGTGTATGTAAACACCAAAAATCTGATCCTATTATTGGGTTATTATGTGATAATTATTATTTGATGTTTGCTGCCCCTGTAAATGTACCCATTTTGCTTGCACTGTAACTAGGCAGAAAAACAAAAATGAGAGAAGATGAGGACAGAATTGCTTTAAATAACTTTTGGCATAAGAGACACTAAAGCCAATGTACTCTATCCAGCAATAGACAGGGTTTGAAGCCAAGAATATTCAACTGATGGATCTCTTTAATGCATTTTGCAATTTTGAGTTTTCTATGTTGTAGTTGTCAAGGTGAAAAATGACTTGGAAGTGAATAAAGTGATTGCTTGGTCAGTACTTGCGTTTTCTGGCCATCATTTGAAATATGCTTTGAAATTCAGTGCAGTCGGCCAAGCTTGGGAGAGGAGACTTTCTCTCCAAACGGGATGTGGCAGATTTAGTTCAGTCACAGACAGTGTTTCTCAGGGTGTGTGGTTTTGTGCCAAAGATCAACACAAGTGGGTTAAATGTTCTTTACTACAAGGCATGCCACTGTTCACAATTCAAGCATTTCACAGCCCTGTGCTTTGTCATTCCTATGGCCGTATGGCAATAAAATAAAATCTACATTATTTTTTGGCACACTAAATAATCACGATTTTAATTGATTTTAATCTATTTTTATTGATTTTAATCAAAGTCAGAGCAGGGAATACTCTTTACATTGTCATTCATATCATATACTATTATTTAAGACACTGTAAACTGCCTTCAGTTACATTTCTATAGATATCTAATTGTACTTGCACATTTACCCTTCTTTGCCAGTAAGAAAGTCAGGAGTAAACTTGTTTCATAATAATAATAATAATCAATTTCACGATTTTGCAACAAAAAGTTTTGTTGCATTGATTTGTTGCAAGATTAAATTGACTAAAAATTTAGTCTTTCGTTGATTTAGGTTGGCTGGCAATTGAAGAACCTGGTGAACATGTTACGTGGGGATCCAGCCGGAGTTACCCTCACACTAAAGAAACGCCCTCAGAGCACACTCACATCAACACCTGCTCTGCTGAAAAACATGAGATGGAAACCACTGGCACTGCAAGTAAGACCAATGTTGACAGTGTACACTGTTTAGTCATTAGATGTGTTTTTGCAGATGTGTAATCCCGCAGTCAACCAGGTATGATCCATAGCAAAAGAAAAATTTAATTCTGTCAACTGGAGTGAAGACGTCACGCTGCTCATCCAAGCAGCTTCTTCCTTTCTGGTCAGTTTGGACTGGACACTAGTGTGAGAAATGAATTTTTCTTTTGTGATGTAGATATATATAATTGTCAGTTCCCCATCACTATATATATTTAAAACTATAAATATATAACTACATTTCTGTACTAGTATATGTTTTTTAAATGAATTTTAAATGAGTTACTTTTGGTTGTTGATCTAATCCCCTGTCTAGCACTAGTTCGAGTACTCATTTGACATTTACACAGAGAATGGCATTTGTTGTCCTACTTCGGCTGTACCAAATCACGTTATGAAAGTAAGCAGGATGTGTATTAAAGTGGATGGCTTTTCAATGAGTCCTAGGCCAAATAGAAAATGTCCTCTTTCCTCAAGGCCCAGTACATAGACTCCTCCCCCATTCATCTTCTTCTGTGAGCTATCTTTACAGCTGACATTTTAGGGACAGAAAAGACATAGTCATGTAGAAAGAGATGTGTTGAAGCCATGCTGAAATTATGATATTAGTATTATTGAATTGTCAATCTGACTGTAACCCTGACACTCACAATAGCAACAATACAACCCTAGTATTATTCTAGTTATGCAACACATTTGCATAGTTTGATCAAATTTGCATTCTTTTGATGGATGATTTTGAAATCTTTTATTAGAGCTCCAAAATTTAGCCTGTACTGTTGCACCACTTCGGCCCTTGACTACCACTGCCATCCTTCCAATTCTTTGTATATTACAATTACAAACATATAGGGCTGCATGCATCAATCAGCTTGAAATTGCAATATCACTTGCCGCAACTGTTAAAAAGCAAAGGCTGCAATTATTTTGATATCTGTTTTTCTTTATAGTAAAATCTTGTTGTGGCTGGTGTTTGGACATCTGCAAATATGTTTTAGATTTTATGAGATTCTTAAGTTAGTTTATCAGTTTAGATTTCAGTTTTCTCCAAAATGTTTATTCTTTTGGAGTTCTTACAATGTGCACTCTGAGCAGAAACCTTTTTGAAACATACATCACAAATGTAATTGCAATCCTAAAAGTAATACTTGTCAATTTTTAAAAATTTTTCCCAAGATTGTGCAGCCCTCGTAAACGACCACCAGACAACGTTTGCCCTGCATCAAGACAAATGCTCACGTTTAGTGAATATGAATGACTATATAGGCTGAGGATATTTCCCTTGACCTGAAATGAATGTCAGACCAAAGTGCAGTGCGACCTGTGTCTGTGTGCACCAGTTGAAAGTAGAGCATCCTACACTGTACTCATTTCACGCCTGAGATGCCACACAGCCGCGCTTTTAGTCCACCAACTGCTCCTTGTTTGACTGACTGGGTGAAATCCTCCATCGTGTCCATCTTTCTAACACTTTTCTCTTCCTCTCCTGCCTCATCTGTCTGCTCCCTCGCTTCCTAACACCTAAACGAAGCCCTTCTTTCCTCAGAGCCCAGGCAGCAGTGTGGTTACGCCCACCAGCACTTTGAGCACATCGTCCAGAAGGGGAAGCTGCGCCCTTCAAGACCTCTACATCCCGCCTCCGCCGAGCGAGCCTTACACGCCCAGGTGAACAAGCTAACTTCTATCTGTAATAAAATAAATCACCAGAGGGATCTGGTGAACATTTACCAAGTCTCCTTTAGTTAACTACTTTAGTTGTTAATTTTAGCGATTACTCATCATGGCCTCACACATGCCAAGAATATTTTTAGATCTTTTTCACTTAGATCGAGTTGTTCTTGGAAAGTTTGAGTAAAGCCAAAAGCTATTTTGCTAATCATTTTACATTGCATTTAATGATACTACAGTATGGGAGATATTGTTGTCATGGGTCATTGTCTAGAGTAAAGTGTTAATTGCTATAATTTATCAAAGAACAATGTTTTGTCTGGATTAAAATTGAAGCTTACATATTGAGACAGAGAAACAGAGAAATAACGAGAAATCATAGACACCATCTAACATTCATGGGTGATCTCATTAAGTTATAAAGTAGCACATCTTCAAACCACCTGCAAAAGGAAGGATGTTTTGTTTCTCATCAAAGAGACTCCTTTCTTCCTAACTGTGCAAATATAAGGACATTTTGAGGTTCAGTAATTTAATTAGGCAATGTTCGGCAATCTTGTCTGTTCATTTGACTTGGGATTTCTGTAATGCCAGGGAGGACAAGGGGAACTTGTCTGGAGAGGACACGCAGTCGGACAGTAACGTGGCGAAAGGCTCTGAGTCGCCAAACACATACCTGGACCAGGAGTGTCGGCAGCGCTTTCCTCTGGTGGAGGAGGACGCCATTTTGTACTGCTATGAGTACGACCAGAACCAGGGCTCTGTGTGCAGGGCCAGCACACCCACTTATGGTAACACTCCTGAAACTTGGACATCTTGAGACAGTTTTGGAAACAGTTTGAGGTTTTTAATGGACACTTTTTGGTCCCCAGGCAGGCTGAGGCCCATCTCCATGCCTCTAGATTATAACTGGGTCGGGGATGGCGAGGACCTGGCCAAGCTGAAGAGAGAGAGCCGCAGAGGTGAGTGGGAGGAAAGAACAGGAGAAGGGGAGGGACTGAGGCGCGAGTGGGTGGATATCCCATAATATCCTCAGCTTTTCAGATCTGCAAGCCTCAAGTCGACGCATGAGCTGGCCTGTCAGAGCTCATAACACGCTGCACATCAGTACCACATCCATACGTTCATCTTGTATGACTGTACCTTCCTTCTTTATCGCCCTCTTCCTCCATCTTTTTGGATATAAAAAGTGCGCGGTTGCTCTGGCAACAGCAGACAGAGTTGATATTTTCCTGAGGTTTTCACATTGTGTTTGTGGCTGCACAGTTAGGTGTCAAATGGAGTGGGCAGACTCTGGATTGCTTTATTTCAGTCTCCCAAGAAAAGACTAGAGTGATTTGTTTGCTTCCACTTTGGATGACGGAGATATGTTGTTTCTTTGAGCTTTTTGAAAATGTTGATGTTTTATACACACCTACATAAAGCACTGTACAGTTTCCAATCTGGCAGCATAATTGTTTTGTGATATTTGGAGTTGTTTTAAAAATCTCCCATTTTACATAAGTCATGTCAGTAGCTGATAAATGAGGTACAGGTTATCTCTTTTTATCTTGGCACCGTTTACAGTGGCGGATTTCCTTGTCTGGAAGAGAGATTTGATTCTCAGTGCTCATGTGTGAAAAATTAAGATTTCAGCAAATTTGCTGAATTATTAAATCACAATCGTAAGATGTTCTCCCCAGATTGATGCAACCCTACAATATGAGCTACAAAAACCCATCTGTCACTATTTGTCTCTGATTCACCACTGTCCAGGAGCATTCCCATTTTAGATACCTGAGACAACATGTTTGTAAAGGTCTAAATTTCAGGTACAATAAGATATTTTTATTAAAAACAATATTTTCTTGTTTACAGAGGACTTTCTAAATAAATGCTGCCTTTGCAATTTGATAGCTTTTTAAATTTTAGTTTATTGTGCAAACCTTTCATATTGTTGAAATAAAAACAAAATCTAATAGAAAGGTGTTTGTTATACAGTGCATTGTAGTCGTGCTGTGTATGTGAAGAGATAGAAAGATACTTTATTATCCTGAAGGAAATTTATATTTCAGGCAGCATACAGTACATAATACAATACGTAATATAATACACAACATCAGTTTCTATAAATTTATCAAATTATAGAGAAGAGTTGAATAGCCATATGGTGTGTGGTATAAACGACTTCCAGAGTCTGTCCATGCTCTCCTGAATGTGTATGTGCGCAAGTCACTACACATTTAATTCTGAGCACAGTCACTCAGGTGGAGAATGGTTTGACAATATAGTGAGGTATTCATGTTGCTTTTTCCAATGACAGAGAACTCCCTGCTGCATTTCGCCAGTGAAGACAAAGGCCCCGGGGAGGAGTTCCTGTTGAGTCGCAGTTTGAGTCAGAACCGGAGGAAAGTGGAGAGAGGGAGCAGCCCCACTCAGTACACTCTAGTGCCCACCCTGGAAGTGTCGCGATCCACCTCCAGCTCAGACTCCGCCTCCCTATACCACGTCAGTACCTAATCAGTAATAATAATATAATGCATAACACTTGTATAGTGTTTTTCTTGAAACTCAAACACGCTTCACACAGTTCAAGACAGACAAGAGAGTATCACTGATTTAGTGTAGTGCATATTATTATTGTATTATCAGTGTGTGAGAATATAATGCATAAGTTATTTATATGAGACAAAATAAACTAAATCAACTAATTTGACCTTTTAACCATATTATAATGGTTTGGCCTCATCATTAGCTTACTAAGAGTTGTATTTTTTGTTTTCAGCTAACCCCTATCCTTGCCTACTATTTTTGGTAATATAGTTAAGGTTAAAAATGCCACATAGCCATTTTTGAAAACATTTAAATGAAAAAGTGTTGCTTGACATAATGAGAGACCACTATGAAGAGGCAGGGTCTCTCAGTTCTGCAGTTTAAAACAGCCGATGGATTATTTGCTCAATTACAGTTTACAATGCATAAAATGTAAAATAATAATCTATAAAGTACCAGAAAAAGCAATAATTTGAATAACTGTAATTTGTTTTATATTGACAAAAATGTTGGCACAAATGCATTGATAGAAAATTACTGATGTTTATAAATAAGGAATAAAAAATTTTTTTTCACTAGTCTATTATCGTCTGCAGATTTCCTAGTCTAGTGTACTGAAAATGTTTATTTAACACAAAATATATCTGTAGCATTATGGTAGCAACATGATTTCATACATTATGCAGTTATTGTACAATCCAATGTTATTCCCCCCTGCAGGTGTTTGATCGCTCCTCGCTGTTGTCTCGGTCAAAGAAGAAGAGTAAAGGTGAGTGCGCAGGTCGGAGCTCTTATGGTAATGTTCAGAAGCAGCTGTTGAATATGTTTAACGTGTGTATTATGCGTGCAGGGGGGAGTCCTATGCCCTCTGTCAGTAAACGTCGCATCTCCTGTCGGGATCTAGGACAAGGTGACTGTGAGGGCTGGCTCTGGAAGAAGAAGGACGCCAAAACCTACTTTTCACAGAAATGGAAGAAATACTGGTTCATTCTGAAAGGCACTTGTCTGTACTGGTACATGAATGAAGAGGTAATAACAAACACTTTTTACTTTGAGTGTAGCATAATGAAATAAACTAATGACTAAATATTTTATAGGATGAGAAAGCTGAGGGTTTTGTTAGCCTCCCTGAATTCAAGATAGAAAGGGCAACTGAATGCAGAAGAAAGTTGTGAGTACTGTTTGAAATAGAAAATTATATTTATATTTTCTCAAAGTAAAAAAATATTTGGTACTTCATATATATTTTTATTTATCTTGGCATGATTTAGTTCTCAAAGCAAAAACCTTAAAAATTATTTCAACAAGGCCAAGATTTGATTAGATTTTTGAAGTTGTTTATTCTTAACTAACTTTGTTATGATTTTGACCATATTTAAATTTAACTGCAGCTACCTAATGCAATCAGAATTCATTATTATCAAAGGCTTAATTGGCTTAATTGGCTATTGTTCTTTGTCACATTCTTCTTATTTTTTTCATGGTAGGAAATCACATTTTCCACCCCTGAATATGAATGAAAAGTTTGGGTATGGGATTGGCCTTGACTGTGTGTTTGTAAAACATCTAGTCCTGGTTTTTGGTCGAAATGAGCTCAGATTTCGTGTGTCACATCTAGACACATAGTTTCTCAAAAAAATATATGTTTTTTGTGAATACTCCTTACTGTCTGCCCATAGCATGCCTGCAAAAAACACCTTAATTTCCTGTTTCTTTGATGACTTCTTTGAGAGCTTAAATTCAAATCACACTTGTGGGATCCCGACATAAATCTAACAAATTATGAAGCCTAATAAAACTGAACACTATAGCCCCTCTGCTATAGAAATGAAACATCAACATATAAGATTTGTACCAAATTTGGGAATTAAATTCTATGCATGACTACAAGCAAAAAATTATATTACAGTAATGAGGCATTTTTCATGGTTGACCAGCAGGGGTGCAAAGAGTCCTCAAAAATTTTTTTTTAAATCTTACATGCGCATGCTTAGTCCAATTGTGCTGAAATTTGAATCATTAATGTGTGATCTCGGCCTGAATATAATATACTACAAAGCATATGACAACTGTGCACTATAGCGCCCCCTACCATAGACATGAAATGCCTACATTAACGGAGTTGCACCAAATTTGGGAATTAAATTTTATGAATGACTAGAAGCAAAAAAATATATATATTACTTTACTAATATATATTAGTATGTAATATTATCATTATTATTGGCCAGCAGGGGTGCATAGACTCATTTAAAGATTTAAACATTTAAAAGTGCACTGTGTAATTTTTCTGATGGAGGATCTGTGGGCCTAGGCAGCTGTCAGGAACGGATAGTAGCATGCCAGGGTAGTTGCATGGGAGGGGCGTGTGAACATGGGTGAGGGCCATCATCAAAACTTATGTCCTCTTAAGTATATGCTTCAACTTTCTAAAACAATGGATTGCCAGTATTTTCTGGTGTATTATAATCATACCCAGCAAATGATTAAATTCAGTTGAGTCACTTCCCTGTAACTGCAATATGAATCCATAAATGTGCACATCAATTCTGTAATTTCCACGTAGTGACATTTTGCTTGCCACCTGATTCTTTTGAGTGGTTAAATGTGTGATGATTTGCCAGTTAATCCTAAACACCATATTTCTGAGCATTCATGTGTAAATGTGCACCATATGTCCCTATTCTTTTGCTTATACCCGCTGTAATGTAACCCTAGCTCTCCTTTTCAGCGCTTTCAAGGCTTGCCATCCGAAGATAAAGACTTTCTATTTTGCAGCGGATGATGTAGATGACATGTCTCGGTGAGTTAATGAGGTTTTCACATACCCAGTTACCTCTTACTCACAAATCCCTTTCATATGTCACATTTCTACCCCATGCTGGCTGTAAATTGAGTCTGGCTATTGGGCTGCCCACTCTACCTTTAAACAGCTTTGTGAGGTGTCAAATGCAGGTTGTTTTAAGCAGAGTGCGTCACGATGTGCTCTCTCCCTCAGGTGGCTCAGCAGGCTCAGTATGGCAGTAGCAGGATACTCGCAGGAGCAGGAGAAAAATCGTCAGGACCAAGGTGAGGTGACTCATATCTTTTTATGCTTATTGGTGGTCTGTCATAGGGCACAAGTTGCATGACGCAACACTTCTGCTGATGAGTAACACAAAGAGTTTTGGGGCGCATAATGGATCAATAAGTTTCACAGTTTTGCCTGGTATTAACTTCAAGGCTCAGTGCCCAGTATTCAATCTCGTGTCTGAAGTTTTCTTTTTATGGGCACCATTTTGAATCCTCTTGACCATCAAAAAAATATATATATATACTTTTGAAAATAGACTTGGCTCTTTTTTCTTCTTTTTATTTTAATGGATATTTGTAACTATGCTTAGTCGTTTCTTCAGTTCTTTCATGTACAGTACTCTTCCACGGTACGCATCTTCTCAGATTCAGCAGTTTCCACAACTTGCATTATTTCACATTGTCACATTGTGTTTTCTTCTTTTTGACCCTAAATGGTGTATTCTAAAATATTTTAAGCAGTTGAAAGCCTCTCTACAGTGTGCAAGTAAAACTAGAGCCGATTGCACCTCTCTTTTCTGGAGCAAACTTGTGTAATTTTACACCTTTCCTCTCTTGTACCAATTCTCTTCCTCTCTACACAACGCTACCATTCGGCACATCACTTTGTCAGCTTCTTTTTTTAATTTTCAGATGTTGCTTCCCCCAGGAGGAAGTTCAGATAAAATGTTGTTTTTTAAAAGCCTACGTAGAGGATATTAAGTGTTGTTGAATGGTGGGTGGTTAGATCACATCGTCAGTGCGTTTTAACACCTTGTGGAAGAGCTGCATTATACATTTTTTTCTCCTTCGCACCTTGCCTCAGCTGAAGTGACTTCACTGGCTCCTCTGTAATGTGGAAGCTATAACTTCTGTAAAAGCCATCCAGAAATGTATTATACATATACATTAACCATTTATACAGATCTTGAATATCTACTTCTGATGTACCTCCAGACATAGATGGAAAGAGTTGAAAAATTATTACATAAATAAACAAAGTAATGGTGAAGGAATACATTCTAAATACAGTTGTCCCATTCTGCTTATGTGTGCTTGACAGATTACTGGAGTGAGAGCGACCATGATGACGTAGACTTGCCTCCGATGCCCAAACAGGACAGTCCGCCTCCACCTTACGACACTTTTCCCAGAGCCGCTTCAGTGAGTTAAGCTTTGCTGTTCATGGGTTTTACAATAATAATAATAATAATAATTCCTTTCTGCTTTGTAAGAGTGAGGATCTTTCCCAATTCAGAACATATAATAGTTACATTTGTTAATTTTGTTATTGTTAAAACAACAGAAGACCAATACTATATCAGTTACTTCAAATCTGGAAGGATAGACATAGTATGATTTAACATTTTAAAAAGAACACTGAGTCGGACAGTTACAGTCCTGTTCTGTGCTGTACATACATTTACCATCTGTCTCCTCAGGTGAGCCCGTACCTGGAGCCAAAGCGCGGACATCTCTCCTCTTCAGACACGTTCCAGTCTCGCTCATCTCATGAAGACTATCATTCAGAGTCTCAAGATGGGGGCAACAGTGGCTACTCCCCTGGGCAGAAGAGCGGCGCAGGGCACAGAAACTCCTGGCAGGACCCCTCTGGGAGCTCCTCCAGGATCCAGTACCTCCAGACATTCCCAACAGAAGAGTCCATGATGTCTGAGGACCGGGACCAGCTGTCAGAGTACCGCAGTCGCTCCACGCTGCCCAACCAGAGGAGCCTCCTGCAGGAACAGTACAGGGCACTGCCTCTGCCCCTCAGGACCAGCATCGACTCGGACATGGGGGGCAAACCTCGCAGCTTCACATTGCCCCGGGACAGTGGCCTGCATGCTATTTTGGCTGCTGCTGCTGCCAGCGCATCTGAACAGACCGAAACACATAACTACCAGCTGGAGCGTCCCCGGGAAATAGGTAATCAGACAAAATATGAATATAAAATAAAATATCTCAACAAAGTAGGATTGACACAACCTTAAAATCTCTGTTTGTTTAAGACTGAATGTGTGTCGTTATGGCCACTTATGCTGTAATGTTTATTGTTTATTGTTACATTTTATGTTCAGATGCAATACAAACAACTTTACTCGATTATTTTCCTCACATCAGTGGGGTTGTAGATCCTTGTGATTGGTAGAGCATTGAACCGGGTACCCTTCCTGACACCGTTAAGTGGATTTATTAAGAGGAAGCTGCTAATAGGCAGCCCTGGCCAAATGTCACACGATTAATACAACCGTTACCACATTATTAGATTGGATTTGTGGTCTGCCCATTTGCTGTTCCCTTGAGACCCTCGGGGCAGTTGTCTAAGTGAGATAAAATTTAGTGTGTGATTTGATACTGATATATCTTGGCAGTTCATCCTTTTCCTTCACACTAGCTCTCTTCTGTCTCTCCCTCTCCCTCCATTCTTTCTCCCTCCCTCCCTCCCTCTCCTCTCTCTTTCTTCTCTCTCTCTATCTCCCTCCATTCTTTCTCTCTCCCTCTACCTCTCCCTCTTTCTTCTCTCTCTCCCTCTCTCTGTGGACCTATTGAGATGTTATTGTGCCTCATGGCTGTGTTTGGATACTTAAGCAAGAAGAAGTCTTTTCATCTCATGTTAATGTTGATTCTTGCTCACTGTAAAGAATTTGGCCCACGGCTCCCTTTCTTCTTGTCCTTTCCTTCTTTAATGTTAGTGTTTTCTTGAGTTTCTTGGGAAAACTGAGAGGAACTTAAAGCACAGACAATAAAAAGCAGGGTTCAGTTTTATACTAAAACCTTGAATCTTCAAACCTATCACAGAGCCATTCAGAATGCTAAAATAATGATTCCAAATATAGTGTAGTTTGTACAAGTAACCATCAGAGGGCAGCAAAGGTAAACTGCTGGTAGACTGCTTGCGGTCTTTGCTGTACTTCTCTGTATTTGCTGTAGACAGAATCAGTACATGTTTGGTTTGGCAAGAGGTCCACAAAATCACATGTATTCTGTACTTTTGTACTGCAGAAAAAGTATTTTGTTATTCAATTATTGTAAATATTGCCCTAGAAGTTGAAGCTGCTTTCCAGTCCAGTCATCCAGTCTTCACTGGTTAGACCTGAGTTATATACACAAGCTACATATGTTTTATAGAAATATTCTAAGTTGATTTGACTTTTTAGACTTCTTGAGGGTAACGTTTACGCACAGTTATGCTATTTATTGGGTTAAAATAATTTACATCACTTTTAGTGTTGGTTCCTCTGTTCCTATAGGGCGTCCTCGTGAGAGCAGGTTGCAGTCAGACTCTTTGGGGGACCTGTACCGCGCTCTGGAACAGTCGGGCCTGTCCACTTCAGCAGAACACAGATCGGCCGGGCGACTGGAGTACAAACGCTCGTTTGTACGTAGGGTCAACGACCCACTTCTCAATGACAAACTGCACCGTTTACGGGTCCTCCACAGTGCACTCAAGGTACATGAAGTAGTTTTACGTTATGTGTCTTTAATATTTATCTGCTCTATGGTGCTGACTGAAATATCAGTTGTACAATAAAGGCAAGAATCTGAAGTCCTTATTCAAAATTTTTATATTTATTGCCCAACAACAACCAGACCCGAACCCATATCCCTCGGGAGGGACCCCCTGGTCTGTTTCTCTTCAGTGTGTCCTTGGTCTTACCTGGGCCCTTCAAGAATAACGTGCCCAGTGTGTAGGAACCATCTGAAACAGGGGGCTCCTCTTTATGTGGAGTGTGATACAGCAACCACATTAGTTCAGATGTTGCACTGACTTGTACATCATTCTTTCCACACTCATGAAAAAGATATTTGTAGTCTTGAGGGAGGACTTCTCCGCCTATCAGTTCCCTTCACATTTTATTTGTACCTAAATATGATCTCTTTTCCTGCAGAATGTCCCTGTCCAAGACACAAACCGCTCTATGGGCTTTCTAGGCTGAAATTAAGCGTCATCATCACCACCTCGGCTTGTGCCTGAGCTGCCAGCATCTTACAGCAGTTTGTACATCACTGATTTTCTCCACTCTCAATCTTCACCTTTATGACTTTTCTTTCTCGGAGACACGTCGGATTTTGAGAAGGAAAATTGCACAAGACTAAAAGTTACTACAGCTAAAAGTTAGATGCACAGTTTATGACAAAGCACTTTGAGTTTGTTATTTTGCTACATGCATGGCCACTTTCCCTCTCTTCTGTCCAGTGTGTGTGAATAACGCTGAAGTTGTGTATCAGGTTTTATAGTTGTACACAACATTTTGTCATGCATGTTTTGTGAGTATGAGTGTGTTCTCAGAGTGTAGAGGTGTTACATTCAAGGTGTTATTGTATATTGAATATTACATGTACAACAGCAACATCTTGAGGTATAAATATTTTTACTTGTAAAATAAGTGCTGTGCCTCATTGATTGTGAATGTACATCGTAATTTATAAACATGATGCAGTTCGTGTTTGGATAGCAGCTCCTCAAAGGCGGGCACAGACTAAATGCTGGGCAACTATGGACAGAACTGTATTGCTCAAAATAGCTGTATATTTTTGTATGCATGTAGTTAATCTTATTGTTTTTCTTTTTTGCATTTATAAGTGAAGCTACTGGTGAATACAAAACATACAAAAGCATTATGTTTCTATGAATTTGCTCCAGCAATACTTTTGTAAATGTTTATGGAAAATAAGAAAGATGGACATATTTGTATTTATTGAGTGTTAAATGTACAAGCATGCTTTGTATAATTCAGACACATTCCCCTGTCAGACTGACCTTGCACAAGTGCGCCATACTGTAGCCATGTACTTTTGTATCTAATAAATGTGAAGTATGGCCCATTAAAGTCATATGTTCTATTTTATCTATACAAACATCTGATCTATTTACAATTTATGAATAATAATAAAAATAAAACAAAAACTGTAGCAGTCTACTTTAAACAACACATTTTAACAACACAGAATATACACACAAATTAACAAGTTTACATAAATTAACCCACTTCTTGAAATGCAAAGTGCACAATTTATAAAAAAAAAAAAAAAAAACAGCACTGGAGATTTTGTCTGCTCTACTACAAAAAGAAAAGAAAAGGAATATGCACCATTATTAGAAAGAAAATGGTGGGACTACTATCTTTGCAGCTTTCTGCTGAAAATGTGGATTAACTTGACCCTAATAACCTGTATACTCAGGCCATAAATAACAGGGTTCAAAATTGGTGGGAAAATCAGAAAATACAGCGCTAAAAACAGCTTAGTTTGGTATGACAAAGAGGCGTTATTTAACCTGCCTTGTGCTATCTCAAAGAAGCATCCGACAGAATAGTTACTTAATGACAGTAAATGCGGAATGCAGGTCCTCAGCGCTTTAAGTTTAGATTTACTGAAAGTTTTTATGCATATTCTGAGGATATGTACATACGAATAGATTACCATTATTAACTGAGGGCCCGTGTATAGCGCCACCGAGAGGAGACCCACAATATTTTCAGCAGCCGTATTAGTGCAGGAAAGCTGGACCAGCAAGTAGTTAAGACAGTACACTTTGTCTATAGTTTTCTTGCAAAATTTTAGTCGAATCGTAAGGGCAAAAACGAGGAAAAACGCCACCAAGGGGTAGACCCATGTCAGAATAATCAATTTGAAGACTCGTTTCGACATGATGGTGTGGTAAGTCAAAGGAAAACAGATCGCCATGTACCTGTCGTAACTCATGGCCGCTAAGATGGTGAACTCGGTGATCGCGTACGTGTGGATTGCGTAAAGTTGCGTCTGACACAGCGCCAGAGAGATTTCCCTGGAATGGGAGAGCACATTACTGAGCAAAGCAGGCAAAAGCGCAGTGGCCCCGTACAGACCGTTCACTGCCAGGTTACACATCAGTATATACATAGGCTCATGGAGAGACTTGTCAGCGCACACAATCCCTATTAACATTACGTTTTCCATAATTATAACCAGGTATGTGATGAAGAACAGGGCGAAATACCATTCTTTACTTTTCTCCATTCCATAGTATCCAACTAGATAAATGGAAGTCACCTCAGATAAATTGAACATGTTAATAGATAGTAGAAAATTGTAGGGCAAAACAAAGCTTAGCTCAATTAGGCTATCTATTCAAAATGATTCCCCACTGTCCCAAATGCATCCTTCTAATGAACTCCTTTATAGGTTACATTTCATTCTAACTCCCCTGTGTCTCCTGTGTCCTCTGCCCTTTTTAACTACTAAAGCAGCTGTTTCCATAACCTCCCCATCAATGTGGGCCTAATAACTAATAATTGAATTTTTCAGACTTAAAAGAATAAACCTATGAGAGCCTGTGTATTTATAAATAGGCTGTTATATGTTTCTTTAATATTAAAAAGTTTATATGCCTAATATTTCTAGATATCTAACTGGGCAGCTCAGAAGAGCTAATGACTTCCTCTGGGAAAAGAGATGTTTACCTTATGGTATGGATCCAGTGAGAACACAATGTAACAGCTGTTCACAGTCAAGGTCAAAGGTCAGGTTTTCTAGATAACAATGTAGGTGCAGATGAACTTTGGTTAATATGCATTTAATTATTTATTGGCCTGTATATATTCTTACATTGCATGTTTACAAAGAAGGTCTAAATACATACTGATATTATTCGTCTTTCTAAATAAAAATACCAAATACCAAAGTACCAAATACCATAAATAATAAAAGAATGTAAAAACACAAAGTTACATGACATTGTGAACTAAAACAAATGACCCTAATTGAAAAATAAATAATGACATTATTCCACAATAGAGTTACCTTTAAATAATACATACACATATAATTAAGCAGCACAAAAATGCGTATTTAAATGTCAGACAAGTAGCCCTGTCAATGCTTTTAAATCCCATGTTAACCTTTGTGATTACCATACAATGTGTAAAACAATATATAATGTATGACTAAACATTAAAATCTGAGCAGGTATGCATTCAAAAGGAAGGCAGGCTGTTCATTTGTATTCTCCAATTAGCAATGGACCTATCTGCTTTAGAAACATATTTTTATTATGCACAATGTTGCCCTTTTGATAGAGTTATTCTGCCGCCCTATTTCTTATACCACTAACATGAGGTTGAACATATTTACGGCAATATGGAACAACTGTATGCACTAACTGTAAATGTTAATTTGATTAAAATAATAAGGCAATCCAGTTTTATAGGATACACAGGGTGCATTCACATCTGCACATAGACCAGATAAAATATGGGAATCGGTGACAGTGGCTCAGTTGCTAGAGCATTTGTTCACTGCTCCAAATGTTGGTGGTTTGAATCCCGACATAAACATCATTTGAGCAGGCAAAGCCACTGAGCCACAGCTTGGTGATGATTCCAGCTCCCACAGATGAATGAAGTCATTGTGTCCTTGGGCAAGACACTTAATCTATCCCACCTACACTGGTATATGAATGAAATAGGTGAGTGGTTTCTTGTTGTAAAGCAGCAAAGTGGAAAAAGTGATATAAAGATATGACCACTTACCATTGAACTGAGAGCAAATTGCTAGAGCAATTTCTGGACTAAATTGGACTCAAATCAGAACAACAAGAATAAGTGCACTGCTAAATAATTTACTAAAACAACTGGACTGACATTGGTTTGTAGCTCACGTTTCACTTCCAACCAGACCTCATCAGTGCTGAATATTTGAATGATGACTTAGTTTTGAAATCAATGTAAATGCTGTGTTAACATTTTAAATAGACCTCACCTATAGGTCTTCTTTATCATTTATTATTTTATATCCACATTACTCATTCTTTTAAGCATACATTTTGTTCTGTAACAACAACTAAGGGCTTCAAATAACAGTGAGGATGTGAAATCAGCATAAAAGCAGGTGACATTAGATTACTTTTTTACCCTGGAGAAAAGCACACTGCATCATGCAGCAGTCACGGCCACAGTAATCTTTGTTGGCAGGATCTTGTATTTGATAAAGAGTTTGAGGATTTGAATCCTAACCAGCTGAGTGCCCATCCCGTACAGCACTGGATTAGTTATAGCGGGAATGACAATAAAATACAAGGAGAGGAAAATCCGTGCCTCCAGTGATAAATAGCTCATATTGAATCTCGTTTGGAGAATCTCATATAGGGATCCCACTGTGTAGTTCACGATTGACACCAAATGTGGGACGCATGTTTTCAAAGCCTTTCGCTGAGATTTTCTGGTCAATTTTTGGCAAACTCTTAAAATCTGGATGTAGGAAAATGTTAACATGAGCACTTGAGGGACCACATAGAAAAAAATAAGACAGAGACCCACTATACTTATATGAGTGACATTTGAACAGGCATTTCTAACAAGCTCCATGTTGACGCAGTACAATTTAGGTATGACATTACCACAAAATGTCAACTGTAGCGTTAAGGAGTAATACATTAAAAATATAATACATGGATATAGCAATGTTAGAGCTATCAGTTTGCTTAGTCTGGAGTTGGACATGATGCTGTGATAATGCAGGGGGTGACAAATGGCTGCGTATCTGTCATAGCCCATAACAGCTAATATACAAAACTCAGCCCCAGCGTATGTATGGAGAAAATACACTTGGGTCATGCACCATTGTACTGCTACTTCAAATGTGTCAGACAAGAGCAAAATCATGATGGCGGGAAGCAAAGCAGTGCTCCCATAGATCTCATTCGCAGATAAAAGGCATGAGAAAATATTCATTGGCTGATGTAGACTTTTGTTTTTAGAAATGACAGTGATCAGTAAGATGTTCAGGGTAATAGTAAAAATGTATAGTGTTAAGAAGAGGACAAACAGCTCAAATCTGCCTGCCTTCAACAGGGCAAAAGCGGACATGGAGAATCTCACCACTGTAGAGTTGGCCATATCTGTAAAAGACACACAAGAAGCTACAGTTATAGAGATTTACTTAACATTAGCTGTTGTTTTGATCTTTTTGTAATATGGAGATAAAGCAAAATACAGACAGGAGCAAAAATCTGAAAGTTTTACAACCTGACTTTGTAACATTAATTTGTAAAAAAAAAAAAAAAAAACACCACCGACAACAATGAAAAAAAAAATCACACACTAGATACTCATTTGTAATAACAGTCAAATTGATAGGACAGAATTTCTTGAACAGTTTTAAAATGTTCTTGAGCTTTATCAGAACTAGTATGAGACCTGGTGCAGACAGTACTAATATTTTTGTGTTGAATATGTCTAGTCTATTTAGACATTTTTAAATTATCATTATTGTGGTCTATTATCCTAAAGGATTCTAAAATACAGTATAGTTAGTACATGAAACATAAAAAGTATCCATGTTAGATAGACACACACCAGGTTGAAGCAAACACCTCCTACCCTCCTTCTTGTGGACCTCCTTTTAAAATGGATGGAGGGAGGACATTTGGGATCTGTCTGTCAGCCCAAGTGCCCACTGAGAAAAAAACAAAAACATTTAAATCCTATTTTCTGACGTAATCTGGGCTGTTTGGCATATTATATTCATTTTTGACAATGTTGATGCAAGTAAATACTAAACAAGTGTCTCAACAAGAAAAAGAAAGAAAGAACTGTATTCTGTGTTGAAACTTTATTCTATTGTATACAGTTTGTATAATTGAATAATAGCTATGATCAGTGGCTTTGAAACAAAGCAATTGAAACTTTTTCTGAAAGTTGCAAATCGTTTGTGCACTGAGCAAAACTATTCAAGGACAGTGCACAGAAAACATTAATCTCAGAGAGAAAACGTGTTCTGTGCCAAATTTAGTTACAAGCTACTTTCCATCTGCAGTTCTTGGGAACATACAAAATACATTAAAGAAACTAATTAGAAAACTTATGAATGAATCAGTGTTTAATTCGTTTTGTGTCTTGAGTGAATAGTTTTGCAAAATGCATTAAAGATTTGCCAGAATTATGAAAGGTTTCAGAAAATGGACCAAAGCAACTGAAAAAACTGTACTGCATCCAGATAGCTATGCTGAAGAAAACTAAAGGATGTCAAAAAAGTAAATACATCATCATTTGTAATATGTAATGGCATTTACACCAATATTACACTGGATATACAGACTGCAGGATGTCTCTATACAGTCTACTCTCCACTGAGACCCTTCTCCCTGTTTTATTCATGTGTTAAATCCTTTGTTGTTACATTTTAGGTACTTACAAATTGTACTTTTTTTTGCTGTTACACAGTAAATTCAAGTGTTAATTCAACTCATATATTGTTAATACACTTTTATCATGTCATATGGGGTCCACAATAAAATGAGTTAAAACTACACTTTTAGATTCACAGAGGGCCAAAATTAAAAACTGGGTCATGGGCCAAAATAAATATTGAAAAATTTCAGCAACATCTGCATGTTTTCTCTTCTTTCGAGATACATAGTGTTAAACCTTTTCTTATTAAAATAAATGTTTAATAATAATGTTGCTTAAACATTGAATCCAGAACAAACATAATTTAAAATAATAACATTTTTAATAAATAATGTCTGTATAGCCTATCTGTAGCTGGCAGGAAGCTCTAATACATATTTGATATTATCTCACGGGCCAAATATAATTATATCACAGGCCAAATTTGGCCCCTGGGCCTGAGTTTGACATGTCTGGTGTAGAGTGTTCTTCATGTTACACTATTCAATACTAACTCTTTCTTCACTAAATACAGTGTATATGCTGTGGTCATTCTAGTTCATAATCCCTTTTACAAATGTAAAATAATGAAAAGCACCACAAAATTCCATTTCAGCTTAACTTGTATTAAAACAATGCACATATGACACAATACTATTTTTGCAAAATTCAACTGTTAGCAGGAATTCTCTGTGTCCTCAACAGCTGGTCACAATGATTGCCACTTATTTTTTTAAAGTTGATTTTTCTATGCAAGCAGTCGATGGATGAATCAAGATCTCTTGTTTTGAATGGAATTCAGGCATACTCATCTCCAAAAATGAGAGGGGCATGTCTGACTGTTTGAAACAAGATCTTCTCTCCATTATATAAACAACAATAACAATGTTCACAATAGAGGCAGTCCTGCTAATTATGAAACAGTAACACTGTAGAAACATTTTACCTCAAAAATCAGTCTTTCACTCTTAGGGTTTCTTTTGACACATCCAACGTCCATGTTGTAGACAGTTCTTTGAATACAGGTGTAAAGTTTGTGAGAGTCTGAAGACCAAGTGCCTTGAAGTGTTCACCAAATTCAGCCAGGTCAACGATGACATAAAAAACCTTTGTCCTTCCCACTTCAGGTGGAAAGGTCATCCAGGCTCAACCAGCAAGAAATGTGTTCATACCAATCTGTAAAATAAAATAGAGAATAGAATAAATATAACATATTCAAGTAACCACCTTGCAAAACAGGCTATGCAATATTTAAAGAGCCATGAATAAAAATGAAAAAGTAAATATATAATAAATATATTATGGTGCATATATCATTATTTATTTGTTCCTATTAAGCAGGTTATTCTGTTGCATGAGCTGTATGTTTTTGTATACAGGAACCATTCAAATAAATAACTTAAAGGGTAATTTGAAAAAATTTAACCCCTTAGAAAAGATTATTTTTAAATGCAAGACCCACAAGAAACAAAACACCTAAATGCCATTATTCACGAAAACAGAATGAGATTAAGGCAAAAATTACTACATAGCACATATATAAAATTCAATTAGCCAATTAAGAAATTATTGGTGAGGTTAAATTTCAAATCTACATTTAACCATTTCATGACATACCTGCAAATCTCTGATGAGATGGTTAATGGCTTGAGCCTTCAGGAGCTGAGGATGCATGTGAACCAACAGCAAGACACTCGCCCTAAAGAAAATACAAAAAAAGAATGTATCATTACTCTTTTTGACTAAAGGTCAATTGCATGTAGCACATTGTATTGGGTAAGACATCATACTTGAAGATATTTTATTTTTACAGAATACTACCAACCTTTTGATTAAAATAATTTAAACAATTCTCCACTTGATACAACAGCCTACCTCAACACACCACACAAATGTGTGCACGTTTATAAGCTATCATTAAAATAAATGTGAATACAGCGAATGAATGCAGCCCCAAAGTGTGAAAAACACGGTGAAAACTCAGAAAAGCTAAGTTAACGAATGTTAAGCTAACAAATGCTAACCTGTCCTTCACTTTAGTGTAGAGCGGGGGTCCGTGTCGTCCATTAGATTTTCGTTTGGAAATGGAGAATCAGTACTGGGTGCAGGCAGAGATAGGGCCATGTGAGGGCATTTGGATTGGGGCTGCGTGAGATCATGGACCCGCTGAGATCATGGACCCGCTGTTTGCTGTCTCCTTGAGACTGAGCAGAAGCAGAGCGGGACTCACCTGGTTTAGGCGTATGCGGGTGTCGGGTTAGACCTGGTCAAATGCAGGTTTAGACCTTGTTTAGAGACAATTCCACCTCCTCTGGTGCCCAGTCCACTCCAGGCTACGGAGAATATACTGCGTCCCTGCTGCCTGGGGAAAATTACACTGAAAATTACAGGCAGGTGGACTGAACAACCAGTGATGTTGAAGCGATGATGACAGGTTAATTTCATGACGAAGGAAACTGCAGTGATGTTGAGAAAGTGACGGCAACAGGTTTATGTCCTGTGGAGGGTGACAGCAGTGATGTTGAGGAAGTGAGGATCACAGCTTCATGTCACGAGGAAGGAAAAAGCAGTGATGTTGAGGAAGTATTGACAAGTTCATGTCTTGAGGAAGGAAAAAGCTCTGATATGGAGGAAGCGATGACGGCGGGTTCATGTCATGAGGTAGAAAAAAGCAGCAGTGCCGAGTCAGCATTGGACAAAATTGATCAGCCTGACCATATAGCAAAATTTCAGCCCTGTTGAAAAACAACAAAGCCAGTTTTGTTCCAAGGAGGGTTCGATTTCAATCTGAATTCAAAGGAATGGCAGACAATTACACCTGAGAGTGGGTCTCGTAGACTAAAACAGTTGTAGACACATGTCCTATATAGTAAGTTCAGCATCCACAACCAAGCCAAAAGTGAGGTCCTTCAGGTGTCTATCAGTGCAGCTGATTTGCAAGATGACACAGGACCCACACATGAGCAAGAATCTAAGGTATAAGATCTCTAAGGTATAAAACTCTTATGGAGGTTTATCTTTCTCACCATATTCTCAAATCCTTCTCATTGCTATTGTGTTCACATATACTTCAGAAATGTAACCTTAAGCACTCACATTCAAACACACTTACAGAGCTTTTGGGAAGATCCATCTAGGATGTTGGTGTTTAACGACACAACACAGCTACCTCGTGACTACTGTACCACTCCCGGAGGCACTTTATTCTCCACCACTCTTGGAGGCACTCATATCATTTATGACCCTCATGGCATCCATCTTCTTTTTGCTCTCTGTCTCTACTGTTGGATGTTAAAGCGTAGTCACCTTTTGGGGTTACAGTTAATTAAAAGTAGAATGTTCAGTCAACTGTGGAAGCCACTGCATTTGAATAGGTTTCCACGTTTTCCAGTCATTATGCAAAGAAAAAGGAGTGGGGCTGAAAATTCGTGTCCAGTCTAGATCTCATATACTGCTTTTGGTGTTCACTACTCCAGATCTATAGAGCATGCATTTAAATTTTTGTTTGATTGGTAGAACAAGTGGTAAATTTTCCATACTGGCCTCATAATTTTGTCCAAAAAAAAACAAAAAAAAAACCCTTTGATGTTCACCCATAGTTTAGTTATGTTGTCATTTTGAGAGTATTATGTCACAGTTCTGCCTTTTTGTTTACTTGTTTTCCCCAGTCCAGTTCCATTTCTCACTCTGTTCCGGTCCTCCTTTTGCCACCTTCCTCCTTTCCCTACAGCTGCCTCTCATTCCATAATCAGCCCAGGCCCAGTCTATATATACTCCCT